TTTTTTGCAAGTATTTATTTATATATATATATATATATATATATATATATATATATATATATATATGTATATATATATATATGTATATGTATATGTATATGTATATATATATACATATATTTTTTGATGTATATATATATATACATATATATATATATGTATGTATGTATATATCTATCTATAGTAAATATATATTTATATACATATCTACACGCACGCGCGCACACACACACACGCATATGTATGTTATTATACAGAAAACGTAACACTGTTGCGATTCAAAGAGCGAATGCCCTACTAAAAAATAGGTTCATATTCGTTTTGTCGTTCGTAGATTCCGAAAGAGAGGGGGGGAGATGTATACGTACTCGTGGTACATCTCTTCCTTTACCACGATCGATCGATCGATCGATAAAGTATATAATAATTAATCGCTTCGTAAATGCACAAGTTACAAAGAACCCATGCATCGTAATTTCTTATCCGGTACCGCGATTCTATTCCACACGCATGTACATACATACATACATACATACATACATACACACACACTACGTACATACATACATACACGTCGTCGAGTCACAGATTCCTCCAATACGAACTCTTCTTCTGATTCTCTCGAACTTCTCGATCCTCCGAGGAACAAGCTCCGTGCGAACCCTAAGGAGAAACTAACTTCGGTACGCGTTTCGTTCGATGAATGTGGTTAAAAAAGAATCTTCTTTTTGGAAGGGGGAGGGGGCTCGAGAGCCGGGCGTTGCACTCGTCGGTGGTACCATAAAACAGAACGTATTTCTTTTTACCATGTTATCGGAATAAAAAGAAGATCCTACGGCATTTCCTCGAAGGATGGAACTTTGCGTCAAAGCGAAGAACTCCGGACAGCAACGAATTCAACCAGCGATCGGGGTGGACTGCCGATTCAGTTGGCGCTGTGTTCAAACAGCGAGTCGTGACACCGTATCCCAAGATCGAGATCGAGATTCGCATCGCGGAGTACGGCTTAAGCTTGTCCGAAGAGACACTGCGGTCGTTGCTAAGCGGACGATGGGCCTCGGAGCTTGTCGGCCTCGAAAGTTCGTCGTAGCGGGTGAAGGGATGTGCGTTTAGGTGAGTTCGGGGGCTAGCGCGGCCTCATCGAACTGTTCAGGGGCTGCATAAGGCCTCCGTTGATGTAACCGTGGTAGGTCGTGTAGACCGCCGCTGGGTTCTGCTGATGGGGGTCCTGAGGGTATGGCGCAGGTACGTTCACTACTCCCACGGGGAGCTGACTGGCTTGGTTCATGAAGCCGCCGAGTTGCGCGGCCTGGTTCATATAGCCGGTGCCCGGCTGGGCCACGCGGTAGCCGTACTGGGCCATGAGATTCGTGTTCAACGCCACGTTCGGGCTGACCCGGCTGGCGGCGCTCTGCATCTGAGGACAGGTACTACCTGGGTCCAGAGTCTGTCTGTACAAGCTCTCGCTGGTGTAAGATTGAGTCAGGGACGCCATGTTCGCGTTCGCCGAGGATCTCGAGGTCGATCTGCTCGGCGGGCCGGGAGTGCCCGGCGGCGGCACCGTGTTCACGTTGTAATAGTTCTTAGCGTAGCCGAGGGGCACCTGAGGCGGGGTCGGCAGCTGCCTCGAGGTCTGAGGCGGCGTCATGGTGTGCGGAATAGGTGGCGGAGGCGTCAGGTTCATGGCCGGCGACGGGGTGGGCGGTATCATCTCCAAGCCGTTGGTCAGCTGCTGAAGCTTCGCCAGGCTGCAAGAGTTGGTGGTCTGATGGTTTCCGGAGGCAGACAGCGAGGACGCGGCCGTGTGCGAGTGCGGAGGCATCGCGCTCGTCTGGATGTAGAAGTTGGTGGCGGTGGTGCAGGGCGTGGGTGCCCCGGACCTGCTGCCCCGATGCTGTATCACGTACGTGTTCTGCGTGGGAAAAGGCTGCGAGGCGACCGCCATGTAGTTTCCTTGAGAAATCACGGCCATGTTGTGCGAGTGAGCAGCATGCGTGTGAGACTGCAGATGAGGCACCGGCGGCACGGTCATCGACGAAGACTGCTGGTACTGAGGCGGCACGTGGCTCGTGTGCGCCACGGTCGTGTGGCTCGTGTGCGAGCTCGCGTGGCTGGTATGAGCACTTGCGTGTTGAGAGGTGGCCTGACCGTGCGACGCCGGAGGAGTGGCACGATGGGATCTGCTGCTTTGCTGCGTCGATCGAGACCTGTGCGTCGTCTGCGAGCCGCTAGCTCTCTTGTTGCTGTGAGACTGCGGTTGCTGCTGCTGTTGTTGCTGCTGCTGCTGCTGCTGCTGCTGCTGCTGCTGTTGATGCGCGGACTGTTGTTGCGGCTGAGACTGCTGAGACTGCTGCGTCTGCTGGGACTGACTATGCGCCATGCTCTGGCTTTGGGTTTGCTGAGCCAGCGACAGCTGCATCGGTTGCGGAGTGTGAGACTGCGGCAAGGGCTGCGGACTCTGGGTCGGTATGCTTTGAGGCGTATGAGACTGAGGCAAGGGCTGAGGCGTGTGGGGCTGTGGCATCGGTTGCGGAGTGTGAGACTGCGGCAATGGCTGAGGACTCTGCGTTGGTATGCTTTGCGGAGTGTGCGACTGCGGCGTCCTTGGCTGCTGAAGTGGCTGCGGCGTGTGGGGCTGATGCATCGGGTGGTGAATGCTGACGTGCGCCGGCGGTGTGTGCTGCGGCATCGAACAATCGGCGTACTGAACCTGCGGCGATATGTTCACCGCCACGGACGTGGCCGGCGGGGCGATCTGCATCGACACGGAAATCGGAACGGTCCCCGAAGCGGGCATAGACGGCAAAGCGCTGGGCGGCCTTTCGACGCTGTTCTGGGACGCCAGGTCGCTGGATATCGACGTGGGCGACTCCAGGCCCAACTGACTCACGTCGAGATCGCACTGACTGTAATGCAACGAGTGCACCGAGTTTGTGGTCGAGTCGGGCGTGTAGACTCCCATGGAGGGTAAGTCCGGCTGCGAGGGCGGCGTCCGCTTCACCGATCCAGGATTTTCCAGATGCGGCGTCGTTTTTCCGCTCTCCGGAGAATTCTGCTTCATCTCCTCTGGTTGCGTCTGGTGCAGGTGCATGGTCTCCTGTTGTTCCATGATGGGTAGCGACTTTTCCTGCGGCGTGAGGGGCTCGGCCTCGGGCGAAGCGACGTTCGCGACGACGTTCGAGGAGACGTTCGAGGGGACGTTCGGGGCAACGTTCGGGGCAACGTTCGGGGCAACGTTCGGGGCGACGTTCGGGGCAACGTTCGGGGCGACGTTCGGGGCGACGTTCGTGGCGACGTTCGGGGCGACGTTCGTGGCGACGTTCGAGGCGACGTTCGAAGCGACGTTCGAAGTGACGTTCGAGGCGACGTTCGAAGCAGCGTTCGAAGATACGCTCGAGGCGACATTCGAGGCGACGTTCGAAGCAACGACGATCGTCGACTCTTTCTTCTCCGTGGGAGTCGCCGGAGAAGCCTCGACCATTGGCCGCGTTGACTCCTCTTTCGTATCCTTGAGCGTTATCCTCTCGGAAATCGGCTCTTCCTTAGGGCTATCTTCATCCTGAGTAATAGCTTCTAACTTTTCGCATTCTTCTCCCTTGGGCGAAGATACTTCAGGTACCAATTTCGACGTTTCCGGGCTACGAGAAATCGTTTTCTCAGTCTCAGAGTCTTTATCACATTCGACCAGAGCCGGCCCCGCGGCCTCCCTCGCAACGATCTGCTGCGGTTCCGATTCGACTTTCGGCAGCTGGCTCTTCTCCGGGTTCTCGGGTATCGCCCCCGTATTCCCCAATATTTCCGGCTTCTCTTGCTTCTCCGCCTTCTGCAGAATCTCCTCCACGGCCGTCTCGGGCTGCTCGATCGATTCGATCTCCGGGTTGCTCGAACCCTCTGTCACGGACTTCGGCCGTGGCGCAGGTACTTCTTCCTCCCCCTCGTCTTCGTCGCCGCCCTCGTACTCGCCGGGACTCGCAAACGCGGTCTCCGCTTCCGGTGGCACGATCGCGCCGTTCTCTTCGACGGTCTCGTTTTTGCCGGGCTCGGCAGCGTCCTCCTTCGAAGCGGATACCAGCACCGGAACTGGAGAATCCTTCTGCTCGCGAGACTCGGGCTTCTCGGAGTCGGCCGAAGGTGACAACGAAGGCGGAGGTATCACAGGACTTTCCGGTCTGTCGCCCGCGGGCGTCTCCGGCTTCAACTGAGGCATCTTCAGAGACTCCTTCTCGGCTTTGGCTCGTCCCCGCCTCGACATCGGCGGGGTCTTCGTCTCCTTCGACTCCTCTTTGCCGTTGCACTGGGCCTCGTCCGTGCTCTTCTTCTCTTTCGCCTGCTTCGCCTGCAAATACTTGGTTTGTCTACTCGTCACCTTCAACAAGATGTCGTCGACTTTGCATTGCTTTTTCGCCGGCTTTTGCACCGTCGACGACAGAGTCGACGTCGCTAGCTTCGACGACGTCTTCTCCGGCTCCGGCGCGTGATCCTTGGCCTTCGGAGAGTCCTTGTCCTTCGTTTTCTCTTTCGACTTTTCCTTCTCCCTTTCCTTCTCCTTTTCTTTTTCCCTCTCCTTCTCCCGGTCCTTCTCTTTCTCTCTCTCCCTCAAAGACTCGCGAGTCCTCTTCCTGGAACTAACCTCCGACTTTTCCTCCTTCTCCTCGGCTTCAGTCTTTTCGGAATGTTTTCGTTTGCGAAGAGGCGTCGTCGTCGTGGTCGTGGCCGTGGTCGTCGTCGTTGCCGCGGTCGTTGTCGCTGCCGCTGTCATCGCCGTCGCGCTTTCCATCGCCAGAGAAGTCTTCGGCGTTCTGATCCTCCGCCTCGACATGCTCGACGACAGTGGCATCGCTTTCGCCGAGCTTGCGGAAGAGTTTGCATTTTTTGCAGTCGCCACCGATCGAGAATTTCTCGGCGTCGACGGAACGTTCTTCGAGTCGACTTCCATCGAGTTCTTGAGCGATTCGTGGGTCGCGGCGGAGATAGCCCGAGTCTCTTTTTCCGAGTCTTTGGTCCCCTTCGAGTCTCTTGCCTCTTTCGTTTCCTTCTTTTCCTTCTCGTCTCTCGCTTCCCTCGCTTCCCTCGATTCCCTCGCTTCTCTCGGTTCCCTCGATTCCCTGGACTCCCTCGATTCCTTGACGGATTTCGAATCCTTGCTCGTTTCTTTCGCGTCCCTGGACACTTTGGACGCTTCTTTCTGTAGAGCGGCGGCAGCTGCGGACTTTTGCGGGCTCTTCTGTTTCAGCGGCGACGACCTTCTTTGACCCAACCTTCGTCCCCTGGGTTTCTTCTTGATTTTCACCTTTTGAATCTTTTCAACGATCGCGGCCGCCTGCTTGGGCTCCGCCATGGGTGAGGACTCGGAGCTCGTGTCGCCGCTCTCCTCGGGACTTTGGTAAGGATTTGGGATCTGCGTGAGCAACGGGATCCACCGCAGACAGTCCGGGTCCAGTTTGATCCGGGGACTTCTTCGCACTTTCACCATGTGACTGTCGACTTTGGTCCAATCGATTGTAACAGCCATTTTCGTGTTCCCCTCGCCGGGCAAATGGACCGATTTCATGAATCCTAACAGTTGCATGGCGGTCCCGAGGTCGTGCGACGACACGCCGGTCTCCTTGGTGATGTCGCTCAGCTTGACGTCCGTCGTGTTCCGGTGCGCGTCCAAATACTCGAGAACGACGCTCTTCCAGAACGAGTGATACGACACCCGGCCAAGATCGGAGAGAGGTTTCTCCGGGGTCCCGGGGATACCCTCGACCTTGGACAACAGGTAACTGAACTCGATGAGAAACCTGCCGAAACCCTGTCTCTGATATTGCGGCAGAGTCATGATGCAGGAGACGTTGTACCGTTGAGCGGGACAGTGCTTCTCTTTGCTGAAGTAACCGACCAAATGACACCCGAGCTTATCGTTCTTCGTTACTGCGTAAAACAGGAACGGCTCCACGTCGTAGTACAGGGTCTTATGGTCCAAGAACAATTTCGCTAACAGACACAAGTTTTGACAGTAGATCTTATTGACGTTGCCGTCGATCTGAAAAAGCAACCGAACAGCCAAGGTTACAACGAGCGATCTCGATCGGTATACGCGTACAAGGAAGGAGATTGTACCAACCTCGAAAACGGACAGTCCGTTACACCTGTAGATTTCGGTGGCCGGTGGGTGCCTCCACTGGCACTTGTCCATGTGTCTGTCGAGTACCGCTCGACTTTTGGTGTACTTTAGGCAAAATTCGCAAAAGAACAATTTCGGTAACCTCGCGTACTCCTGGGGGAACGGACTCGAATACCACGTCTCCACTTCGAATCGGCCGAAAACGATGGCGGCGGGGTTTCTCGTGCCGTTACCGGCCGCGGAATTACCGTTGCCAGGAGGACTGAGAGTCGCCACCGCCAATGCCGCCGGAGCAGCCGAGGCTGACGCCGTCACGACCTCGTCGCCTTCGCCGTCGCCGTCGCCCTCACCGTCACCGTCGCCGTCCCCGTCGCCGTCGCCGTCGCCGTCTCCGTCTCCCTCACCGTTCGAGACTGTGAGACGCGTCGCTCTGTCCCGGGCATCCTTGAACAGATCGACGTCCCTCTGGGTGACGCCGGGCGGCAAGGTCTGCGGCAGTATCGGCTCGTCTGCAAGCAGAGTTCAAACATTGGTTCTTCTTTTGCTCGCACACCTTCGAAAGACGAATACAGAACAACGGAAGTGTGTAGAGCTCTTCGCTGGGAAGAAGGCCTCTCGAGAAAGAAAGAAAACGTTCGAGTAGAAGAATGGTTCTGCGTCGCGGTTCTTCGCGCGCATGTTCGTCGACGCGTCCAGTGAGAAGGAGAGGATCGAGTCGAGGAAGCGTTAACTCTACACGGTTGCGATGCCGAAGGCGACGGCGAGGCGAGACGGTAGGCGACACAGGAGAGGCGACGCGATGCACGGAACGTTTGGGACACCCGCGTTATCAGGGATTCGTCGTCGAGCAAAAACACCGTTGATTCGACAAGCGTGATACGTTATCCGGTGCGCAATCTCGGCGAATGTTAACGAAACAGAAACGCAACGGCGAGCATCGAGTTAGAAAGCAAAGCTGTGGAATGATATCGGATATTCGTGGGATGTGTTGGCAGAGTATCGTAGTCTGGCTCTTCGATGGCAAAAGGGCATTTCTCGTTAGGCGTTGCGGAGGACGTCGAGTATTACGACAACAACGGTGCGCCTGCTGATCAGCGAGAGTCAGCAGCAGCAGGTAGTCGATCCCTTTTAGCTACTAATACGGGACGGCTTTGTGTATTACAGTCTGCCACCCAGTGTCGTATTTCTTCGTCCTGCAAAACTGACCAATGCGGTTACGCTTTCGATCGTCACGAAGGGGCAGGCTAGATCGAGGGATACGTTGCTTCGACAATTTCTCTCGAGGGAGTTTCGCCGGGTCACGATGCGTCTCGACGATCGTCCAATGACTCTGAGCGTTTTTCTTTTCGGGATCGGTGAACCGAGCCGGTTCGAAATTGCGCGCGACGACCGGTGATCGAGAAACGACAGAAGGCCGACGCGGGACACGAGAAACGAGAGGAACCGGAGAGAACCGGAGAGAACCGGAGAGAACCGGAGACGAAAGTGTGCTAAAACCGTTGCGTGTACGGTCGGGTGCATTGGCGGGCGTGCACTAATAGAGTACCCTATGAGTATGCGGCATGGAATAAAGGAAAGTTAAGTGTGCCAGAGCCAAGTAAAAAATATTATTAATGACATGCAATAAACCACGTAAATATTCGTGTGGCGTGAAACCGATGGAAATCTTTGAACCGATCGCGAATCTAGAATCGAGAAAAGTAAGGAATAGAGAGAGAGAGAGAGAGAGAGAGAGAGAGAGAGAGAGAGAGAGAGAGAGAGAGAGAGCGCGCGCCTAGGGTCGTGTCGAGAACATGAAATCGCGGATCCTATCCGAAGAGGATCGATCCGTTTCCAGAGTACAAGTATTCGAGTACGCGGAGGTATCGCCATCCCCACCGCGAGAGGTAGATTTCCATCGGTTTTACACCGTGTGACCGATAAACATCCTATCGAGGAACCTGATTGTTCTGTGCTCGAACACGCGATTCTATTCTCTCGCGATCGAACGAGATTACAAAGATCGTTCGTTAACGATCCCGCGAGAGAGCATCGGAAGCGCAAGATAATATTCGATCGGGCGAGACTGCGCGCACAGTACGAGAGAACAATCACGTTGATCCTGGAAAAGAAGTTACGTGTCAGAGTCACATGTACACACACATATCATATACCACACCACACCGCCAACACATCCACGTGGTGGTGAGCGAGGATTAGATTAGAGGGGAAATTCTTCTTTTTGCGACTTTTTTCTTTTCTTCTTTTTTGTCTTTTCTTTTTTTTTCGTTTCTCTTTTTTTTTGGGTGCATCATCGAGGTTAAGGGACTCGTGAACGGGTCGGGGATAGACTCTTACCCTTCCTGGTGGAGCAGGGTGTCGCGCGGGGTGTCGTGGTGGTGTTGGTGGTGGTGGCGCTAGTACAGGCTCGTGGATTGGACTTTAGGCTAGGATTTGATTTCACGGAATCGGAACACAGGCCGGACTTCGAGACAGCGGGCACAGGGTGGCGCGTCGTTTGACCGTTGCTCGTCTCGATGACCGTGTTTTTGTTGTTATTGTTGTTGCTGTTTCTTTTCCGTGGATAATGGTCGTGCCGGTGAGACGGCGGGGCGTACTTGACGAGCGACGAAGCGTCCTTCATCAGCTTTCTCCTCTCGTGCTCGTGCCTCTTACTGTTCACAGCGGTTTTCACCAGGTTCGACGGTGTCATTTTCGGTAGCTTCTCGTTCAACGAACCGACCACGAACAGACTCTCGTCGGAGGGTGTAAAGATCCCCGGCCTCGGCACCCTCGGTGCTTCCTCGGCCGTTCTTCTCCTTTCCTTCGGTTTGCCCGCGACGCCGACGGCAACGGCCATGGGAACAGAAACGGGAATGGCAACCGCGGCCGCGGAAACGGTGGCGGTAGCAGCGGTGGCGGTGGCGGCGCCGGAACTGGCACCGCCAACGCCAACGCCAACGCCGACGCCGACGCCGATGCCAACGCCGGGAGACGAGTCGCTTTTGTTCGCGCCAACTCTCGGGATCTTGGCTTGATTGGCGACGACGTTCTTGTCGTCCGCGTTAGGCCGTTTTCTCCTATCCGGGGCATAATTAGGCGCCGATCCGCCGGATCTCGCCCTACTGTTCGTAGGCACTGAAAAGAAGTGACTCAAACCATCGAACAAGCCTTTCAACTGACCGGCGCCCGGCTTTACTTNCGCGCGCCTAGGGTCGTGTCGAGAACATGAAATCGCGGATCCTATCCGAAGAGGATCGATCCGTTTCCAGAGTACAAGTATTCGAGTACGCGGAGGTATCGCCATCCCCACCGCGAGAGGTAGATTTCCATCGGTTTTACACCGTGTGACCGATAAACATCCTATCGAGGAACCTGATTGTTCTGTGCTCGAACACGCGATTCTATTCTCTCGCGATCGAACGAGATTACAAAGATCGTTCGTTAACGATCCCGCGAGAGAGCATCGGAAGCGCAAGATAATATTCGATCGGGCGAGACTGCGCGCACAGTACGAGAGAACAATCACGTTGATCCTGGAAAAGAAGTTACGTGTCAGAGTCACATGTACACACACATATCATATACCACACCACACCGCCAACACATCCACGTGGTGGTGAGCGAGGATTAGATTAGAGGGGAAATTCTTCTTTTTGCGACTTTTTTCTTTTCTTCTTTTTTGTCTTTTCTTTTTTTTTCGTTTCTCTTTTTTTTTGGGTGCATCATCGAGGTTAAGGGACTCGTGAACGGGTCGGGGATAGACTCTTACCCTTCCTGGTGGAGCAGGGTGTCGCGCGGGGTGTCGTGGTGGTGTTGGTGGTGGTGGCGCTAGTACAGGCTCGTGGATTGGACTTTAGGCTAGGATTTGATTTCACGGAATCGGAACACAGGCCGGACTTCGAGACAGCGGGCACAGGGTGGCGCGTCGTTTGACCGTTGCTCGTCTCGATGACCGTGTTTTTGTTGTTATTGTTGTTGCTGTTTCTTTTCCGTGGATAATGGTCGTGCCGGTGAGACGGCGGGGCGTACTTGACGAGCGACGAAGCGTCCTTCATCAGCTTTCTCCTCTCGTGCTCGTGCCTCTTACTGTTCACAGCGGTTTTCACCAGGTTCGACGGTGTCATTTTCGGTAGCTTCTCGTTCAACGAACCGACCACGAACAGACTCTCGTCGGAGGGTGTAAAGATCCCCGGCCTCGGCACCCTCGGTGCTTCCTCGGCCGTTCTTCTCCTTTCCTTCGGTTTGCCCGCGACGCCGACGGCAACGGCCATGGGAACAGAAACGGGAATGGCAACCGCGGCCGCGGAAACGGTGGCGGTAGCAGCGGTGGCGGTGGCGGCGCCGGAACTGGCACCGCCAACGCCAACGCCAACGCCGACGCCGACGCCGATGCCAACGCCGGGAGACGAGTCGCTTTTGTTCGCGCCAACTCTCGGGATCTTGGCTTGATTGGCGACGACGTTCTTGTCGTCCGCGTTAGGCCGTTTTCTCCTATCCGGGGCATAATTAGGCGCCGATCCGCCGGATCTCGCCCTACTGTTCGTAGGCACTGAAAAGAAGTGACTCAAACCATCGAACAAGCCTTTCAACTGACCGGCGCCCGGCTTTACTTTGTTATCGATGCTGTTACCACCACCACCACCACCACCACCACCACCGCCACAGCCGCCGCCGGCGCCCGCGACGGTCAAGCCGGAGGAGACGTTGCCACCCCCGCTGACCGTGATCCCGGCTACGGTAGCAACGTTCTTTTGCTTCTTCTTGTTATTATCCGAGGGGGTGGTGGTCGCGGCCGGTTGTATGTGCAAGCCGAACGTCGGCGTTCCGCCCACGTCGAGCTTCGGCAACGGAGCACCGAACGTGTTGTTGATGTTGCTGAAAAACGGCGACTCCGCGTTAAGCTTGGCGGCAGCAGCGGCGAAGCCCCATGGCTTGTCCTCGCTGAGATCGCAGGAGAACGGACTTCTAGGTTTCGGAGATTCGAGAACAGTTTTACGACCACTCTCCGGCGCGTCCTCCTCCGAAGTCGAGTCGCTGGATTCGCTCGAGCTGTTACCTTCCTCTTCGTCCTCGTCCTCCTCCTCCTCTTCTTCCTCCTCCTGCTCCTCCTCCTCCTCGTCGTCCGTGGTATCGCTACCGTCCGAAGAATCGGTATCCGTCGCATCGCTGCCGCTGCCGCTACCGCTGCTGCTGCTGCTACTGCTACTACTACTACTACTGCTGCTAGACGCTAACGAGGCCTTTTTACCCGGCCTTAACGGTCTTTGCTGTTGCGGTTGTTGCTGTTGTTGTTGTTGCTGTTGTTGTTGCTGCTGCTGCTGCTGCTGTTTTTTCTGGTTCGCGTTACCCCGAGTCAACCTAGGACTAACGTTCTGCGAGGATTTATACTTATCACCGCCCCCCACCCGCTTCAACTTATTGTGCTCCGCGTTAAATGCGCTCAGCCTAAAGAACTTTTGCTTCTCCTTCGAGATCCGGTCGTTCTTTTCTTCGAGTAGCCTACCCTGGCCTGCGAGTTGGGCGGGGGGTTGTGGTATGGGAGAGGAAATTAAAGGTGGTTGACGAGGGGAGACAACACCCGCATTACCGTCCGAGCTGCTGTCCACCTGTGCCACACCGACAGCGCCTTTCTTGCCAGGAGTCGCGATCGTCAAGCTCTTTCTGGATACCGCCGATCTGAAACACATCGAACGCGACACCGGCGTCGAGTAAACCGTGTCGATCTCGATCGGCCTTCGAGCGCTCGCGACCGATCCTTCCTTCTTCTTCTTTCGGCCGCCGCGTCTAGAACGCGAAACGTGAAACGTGTAAGTCGTAGAGTCGTGCGTCAGGCGTTGATCGTTCGTCGACGAGACGGCTCTAAGATCTCGGAAGATCTCGAAAGAACGTGGAGGAAGGAGCGGCGCGGCGCGCGGCGGGCGCGATTTCGTTTGTTTCTCGAAACTCGAGACCGTCCTCTTACTTTCGATTCTCGCGCAACTTGCTGAATCTCTTCCTCGCAGTGGTCGGCGTGTCGTCGAGCGAGGCCGAATCCTGGGTTTTGCTCTTCTTCCCGTCGTCCTTGGCGACCGGCGTGTGCGCCGTTTGACAGTGTCGACACCTCCATGGCGCCTTGTTCTTTTTGTCGAGAGCGGGATCAAGGCAGGTGGGATGATAACACTTCACGCAGCCGGCGCACTTCACCAAATAGTTCTGCGACTCCTGTTCCAGCTGACAGCCGGCGCAGGTCGGCGAGCAGTCGTCGCAGGACCACGTAATCCCCCTGTCGACGAGGACCGAGAGCTCCGGCGGGGCGCACAAGTTGTGCAGGGCCGCGCCGCACACGCTACACCTGCTCAGCTTCTCCGACGCGTTCCGCTTCGTGTTGTTGTTGTTGCCGGCTATCGTCGCCCCGAGACACTCCTTGCATATCGGTAGAGGAGCCGGCAGCTGAGACAGACAAGACACACCAACGATATACGGTTAATCGGTGACAGAGCATCCACTGACAGAGCATCCTGTCGGTCACTCTCTCTCTCTCTCTCTCTCTCTCTCTCTCTCTCTCTTCTCCGTCCAACGTGCAACGGGGCGTGTCGGTGAACGACGAGCAACGCTTTTGCTCGCAAAACCTTGACAGGAAGTATAAGAGGCGTTCGCCTTTACCCACTCGCCCCGTTGGACGGGCCATCGCCGATTCGACCGAGATCTTGATCGAGAAGTAGCACGAAATTAAGCAGTCGATTGCTCGGTAATTTCCGGGGAATGAATCGTAAGGTTCGTCGGGGTGTTTGGAGCAGTCGTCGCGGCGAACAGGCAACTTTTACCCCGCGGGATCGAACGAGATAAACGTTCGATCCCGTATCGCGTGTCCCACGCCTCGTGCCCCACGTCCCACGGAAGACTATGAACAAGACTGTGTCTCCAGAGTGGAAACCGAATCAAGGACCAACGATCGTGCATCGCGCGTCGTGGACCGTCGCTTGTCCCACGAAACGGCAGAGATCGCAAAGTCGATAGAGTCGGCACGGCGAAACTGTGGGCGCTCGGTCGCCCCGCGTTATTGCTGGGAAAGCTGTTATTAGAGTTCGGTCGAGCGGGCTCTCCGCGAGTACGTGCCGCTGGATACCGAAGCGGCGCGTTCGTTCACGGTGGAGCGCGCAAGTTTCTGCGTGTGTTCGCCGCGTTCGTTGCCTCGCATCGCGCGCGTTGCACGTTGCATACCAAAGACGACCCACCGACCGACAGACGGACCACCGTAAAACATTATTCATTCCGGTAATAATGCAGGCAGCTAGGTTCCGTATATCCCCGCATCAACGCGAGGGTGCATCTTATTAAAACCGCTCCGCCGCGCGACCGTTCTCGCGGATGCGATCTCTCGCCTCGATATACCGAGGTGCACACGCGCGAAACGATTCTAGACCGTTCCCGAAGCTACCGACAACTTTCAACGTTGCGAATCGAAATCGAAATCGAAATCGAAATCGAAATCGAAATCGAAAACGAAATCACCGATTATCCGTTCGCGTGTCCGACCCGAACGTCCGAATCCCACGGGTCCGGACCCCCGTGAAAGCAAACCCTGATCCCGGAAACGGTCCGTGATGCGCCCTAATCGTTCAAGGTTTCCCAAGCTCTCCCAAGGTCGCTGCCTTCGACTACCTCGAGCAACGAGGAATCGATCGATTTTTAAGCTCGCGAAGACGAGACGCGACGTTGCGGTTTCTATTTAAAAAAACAACAACCACGCGAGCCCTAACCGTTCGATTATCGGGCACAGACCTGTTGCGGGTGGTTCGCGAGCGGGGGAGAAACGAACGACTCCGAGTCGACTCTCTCGGAGCCAGTTACCGGGTCGTCACCGAGTGACATTTTCGTCGGGGTCTCGACGCCGAGAGAAAGAGAGTGTGAGAGAGAGAAAGAGAGGGGTGGAAGGTGGGATTTCCTCGAACGGAACACGCACGATTAACCTCCGGTTCTCGGACCAACGACCTGTTGCTCGGCGACGAGGTACGGCCAATCATCGAGTAACTGTTAGGCGATTGGGCGCTCCGGTGAACCGCGTCCTTACGCTCGGCAACGTTTCTCTCGCGTCTCGGTCCTCTCCGCGCCGCGGTCGCGCGGGACCGTTTCTCTCTCCCGTCGACTTCGCGTCCGCCTCTCGCGGCTGCCTTCTCTTTCCATCCAGTGATTTCCCGCGATCACTGACTCATCGCGCGCTTTCAATCTCGTTCGTCGCTACGATCCTCTCGTTAGCGCTACACCCGACGTGTTCCGGATCCCGTCGATCGAGATCGTCCAGCGATCGGATTCGAAAGACGGTGGTGTACCCGTACGACCCGATTGCCCGACTACCAATTAATAGAACGGAATCGCGTCGAACGGACGGTGGAGGATCGTAGAGCGCGGTGGTCGGTTCGATTCGGCCGAAGGACGAAGAGAACCGGTGTAGCCCTTGCTCGACCAGCGGTCGATCGATGGAGAACGGGCAAGGTGCTGGCAGTGGCTGGTAGTAGCCGGTAGGGCAAGGGTCGACGAAAAAACGCGGGAAACGCGCAGTGGCGGGAAACTGGTGGCAGCGACGCGACACGGTGGGGCTTCGAAGCCAGCTGGAGGAGACAGAGGGAACAACCCGATGCGCGGTGGACGTGGACAGACCGAGAGAACAGCGGAGAGGAGAGGAGGGAGAGAATTAGCGGAATCGCGTCGGCGCGAACGTTCTATAACTTTCCGCTCCCTCCCCCCTGTATCCCCCCGTATCGCTCTCTTTCCCCCCCCTCGTTTCTCTCGCTCGCTCCGCGGCCTGACACGCATAAAACGCGGTCGTTAGGAACGCGGGGACACGCGGAGGGAAGAAAACAGCGAGCGAGAGGGGCATAGAGAGAAACAGGGAGCAAGAGAGAGAAAGGGCGAGAGAGAGAGAGAGAGAGAGAGAGAGAGAGGAGAGAGACGGACCGATCCCGTCGGAGCGATTCCGTGCGCGCGGAGGATCAATAAGAGAAGCGATATACAAACGAGTCGCCGGAAGTTGGCCGAGATAGCACATCGTCCCGAGCCTCTCCCCTCTGTTCCAGCTGGCCCTACTCGCTCCCTCGGTTGCCCCCGTCCGCTCCCTTCCCGAAGGAAGGCTCTCGGAGGCGTGGGCACGCGGCGTGACTCGCTCGCCGCGCGAAGAAAGGACCGTAACGACCGCGTAATATTTTTCTCGTCGATTCGATGCCCAACCTGCGACCATCTTTGCCAGCTTTTATACAATATTATGTCATCCGTCGGTCCGGACCGCGCCGTGAATCACGCCGAGAAAACCACGTTGCCCCGATCCAAATACCCACGCGTTCAGCCTCGCCGACACCGAATTTCTCGCGAGAAGCCGGTAGCAGCTTGCGGGAGTAGACGATACCTCGACGCCTCACCGGCTACTCGATTCTATCCACGGTTCAACGAGCTGCGATTTCGAGAGAAATTAGCCGGCGACTCGGCCGAAATTGGACCGACCGCGTAGCAGGAGAGCGGCGGCCCGCCGCCCAGCCACCGTGCGATCCGTTATTTTTCCGCGGCCTGTTACGCCGATTACCTGTACATTCTATCTCTCCTCCATTGCGTTACGAATACGAATACGAATACGAACACGAACACGAACTCGTGTGACTCATGCCCTGGAAACGCCGCGCCGGCGCCGCGCCGATTCTTTTCCTCGTCGACTCGCTCTTTCGATATGGTCACGCGTGTCGCCGTTTCGACCGAATAAATTGCGTTCAAACTTTGTCTCCGATCGCTTCTGCCTAAACGAATCCGAACGAACGGAGACACCTGAGACAGGCGGCTGGTCCGTGGGAGAAGAATAGAATCATGAGAACATCCTGGTTGATTTCTCCCGTGCGAACGGGACTCGAAGCTTTTCGAGAGAGAGAGAGAGAGAGAGAGAGAGAGAGAGAGAGAGCAAATAGGAGAGCGGAGAAAGACGAGAGACGGCATACCGAACGAGCGGTTTCCGAGCGGTTACCGATCGGTTTGCCGAGATTAATGGATCGTTGCGAGCCGACCGGGAACTCGGCAACTTTTTGCTCGGCGACGCCTGACCCCGGCTGAACCCGAACAGTCGATGGAAAGCGAGAATCGAGACGAAGAGATCTCGACCGTTCGCCGCCGGACGCGGACCAGTTCGTCGAGGAACCGTCCATTATCTTCGGTCGTGGAACCGCGTGGTCATCGATCGCGTCGACGTCGAAATTCGTTGATCTTCCGTCGGTCGACACGAGACGAGACTCGGGTTATGGAACGAACGCGTCGACCACGATTCGTAAGAGATTCGACGAGTTCCGGAACCGCGTCGGCGGCTGGCTGGAAGCGACACAGTTCCGGCGAACGTGCTCCGCCGAGTTCAAGGCCGTGAAAATTCTCGCGATATTCCCGCAACAGTTGCTCTCGGCGCTACGCTGAGCAGTACAGGTGGTTCCGAAACTCGTGGACTCGCTCGCGCGGTCTTGTGCACGGGTTTGCCCGTGGGACAGGTGCGCCGGGACGTTTCTACGGCAAAAATGTCATCGCGCGATTTGCATTCCCCGGAGGACAAGAGCGCGCCGGGGCATGCCACCGCGATATTAACCGGACGAAAGAATGAGAGAAAGGCTGTATAGCTCGCGAAACGAGCGGTAACGGATGCGAGGGGATTAACCCGCGACGTCGGATATTTCCCGATCCCGAGACCGTTTACCGAAAACGGTACACCGTCGGACAAAAGATCGACGCTCCGACTCCGACGGGGAAACAAATCTTGCGCCCGGACGAGCCATAAAACGGGTCCGTTGCGTGGAAGCGAATCGATTCGGCCCCTCGTTCTACGCGCTACCTACGCGATCCGATTTTCCTTTCGACGAACGGAGATCGGGAAACGGTGAACGCGCGACCCTTTCGGAGTCCAACCTGTTTGTTACGTGTACGCCGATGAAATCTCGTCTCGCGCGACTTTTGAAAATGTCAACGACGCTCGGTCGGCGATGGAGCCTACGGAATATAGAATCGAGAGAGAGAGAGAGAAAGAGAGAGAGAGAGAGAGAGAGAGAGAGAGAGAGAGAGAGAGAGGNGGAGAGCGGAGAAAGACGAGAGACGGCATACCGAACGAGCGGTTTCCGAGCGGTTACCGATCGGTTTGCCGAGATTAATGGATCGTTGCGAGCCGACCGGGAACTCGGCAACTTTTTGCTCGGCGACGCCTGACCCCGGCTGAACCCGAACAGTCGATGGAAAGCGAGAATCGAGACGAAGAGATCTCGACCGTTCGCCGCCGGACGCGGACCAGTTCGTCGAGGAACCGTCCATTATCTTCGGTCGTGGAACCGCGTGGTCATCGATCGCGTCGACGTCGAAATTCGTTGATCTTCCGTCGGTCGACACGAGACGAGACTCGGGTTATGGAACGAACGCGTCGACCACGATTCGTAAGAGATTCGACGAGTTCCGGAACCGCGTCGGCGGCTGGCTGGAAGCGACACAGTTCCGGCGAACGTGCTCCGCCGAGTTCAAGGCCGTGAAAATTCTCGCGATATTCCCGCAACAGTTGCTCTCGGCGCTACGCTGAGCAGTACAGGTGGTTCCGAAACTCGTGGACTCGCTCGCGCGGTCTTGTGCACGGGTTTGCCCGTGGGACAGGTGCGCCGGGACGTTTCTACGGCAAAAATGTCATCGCGCGATTTGCATTCCCCGGAGGACAAGAGCGCGCCGGGGCATGCCACCGCGATATTAACCGGACGAAAGAATGAGAGAAAGGCTGTATAGCTCGCGAAACGAGCGGTAACGGATGCGAGGGGATTAACCCGCGACGTCGGATATTTCCCGATCCCGAGACCGTTTACCGAAAACGGTACACCGTCGGACAAAAGATCGACGCTCCGACTCCGACGGGGAAACAAATCTTGCGCCCGGACGAGCCATAAAACGGGTCCGTTGCGTGGAAGCGAATCGATTCGGCCCCTCGTTCTACGCGCTACCTACGCGATCCGATTTTCCTTTCGACGAACGGAGATCGGGAAACGGTGAACGCGCGACCCTTTCGGAGTCCAACCTGTTTGTTACGTGTACGCCGATGAAATCTCGTCTCGCGCGACTTTTGAAAATGTCAACGACGCTCGGTCGGCGATGGAGCCTACGGAATATAGAATCGAGAGAGAGAGAGAGAAAGAGAGAGAGAGAGAGAGAGAGAGAGAGAGAGAGAGAGAGAGAGGAGGTGGAGCAGGAGACTCACCTTGGGGACGGGTGGGTCCGGGGGTGGTAGATTGGCGCTGTCCCCAATCTTCTTGAGATAGGGCGGCCTGTCCGGCTGCCGGAACAGCCTGCCATCCTGGACGACGAGGCCTCGGTCGGCGGCCCTCTTCGCGGAGAGCCTGAGCGCGGTCCTGAGGTCGCCCTCGGCCTCCTCCTCGACCGTGTGGCTCTGCCTGATGTACTTCTCGATGGTTTTGAGGGTCGAGCCCTCTCTCTCGCCGAGCTCCCTGACGGCCTTACCGAGCACCTTGCTCAGGTCGGAGCCTTTGCCGACCTTGAGCGGCTTCGACTGCAAGCCGCCCGGATCCTTGTACGAGGACTGGCCCTTGTTGAAGATCTTGAGCACGTCGCCGCGCTTCACGGCGACCTCCAGGTGCTCCGCGATCTCTTCCTCGTGGAAGTTGTGGTGTTGACGGATCGCGTGGCATATCCGTTCGACGCTCGGCCTCTGTTTCTGGCTGCGGATCTTCCGGATCGCGTCCAGGAACCAGGCCGACCACGTTTCCGCGGACTCCGGCTCGTCCATCTCGTCTCCGACGGCCGTCTGCCGACGAGGGCGGCGCCGGCGGCGGCGTACCCACCCGCCACGTACCTGGCCAGGTTATACGCACCCGGTGGACAACGCTGAAGCGCCTCCGGGTCTGGGTCGACTGTGTCACGGCCGCGACATTCACATCCTGCGCCCGCCTTCCTGTCTACCTGCCTTCTCTCCTCCCGTCTACCTTCCTCCGCTCCTCCGACTCGAGTTCCTCCGCTTTTCTTTCTTCTTCCGCCCGACTACCTTTTCGGCTGCTGCTGCTGCTGCTGCTGCTGCTGCTCCTGCTGCTGCTGTTGCGACCCTCGATCAGTCGTCGCTTTCAACCTGAAATCATAGCATCGGTTTCCTCAGTCGTCGGTATATGTATTTCGTTGCTTCTCGCGACAGACGCGAGCAGCGATGTCCGCGCGGTTCTCGATCGCGTTCACCGGGGAAAATCTGTGACTCCCTACGCGATTCTATCTCGATCTCGATTTCGGCAGCGATAGACGATAGGCGATAGGCGACAGGCGACAGAACCCATCGCTGTTATCGTGTCTCTCACTCTCGGGTACCGCTGATCACCGTTTACGTTCCATTCGTTCCGCTTCCTCCATATTCTCTGTGCCACCCCCGACGCACCGACCCCGACCGAACCAGCCGCTTTCCGAGGGTTATTTCGCTCGAGCGTTGCACGCGGGAGAGAGGTCGACGGAGATCCTCCCGGCTGGGAAAATTAGCGCGAACGAGGAATCTCGAGCACCGCGCGCCGCGCGCCACCGACCACGGTTTCGAGAGACCGTATTTCGTTGCGGTGGCGACTCTCGACGCGTGCGACTGTGATTAGCATGGGAGAGGGTCGCGAGCGACGTTTATCGATCGGTTTCCTGGCCGGCCGAGTATTGTTTTCCGTTACGACAACATGCGCCGAGGATTAATTGGAACGTATTCGAGCGTTCCGCGTCGCGTCGCACCGGCCCTTAATCCGAACGATCTTTCCGAGTACATATAGTCGAGATCCGGGAGAATCGATCGTCGTCGCGACGGAGCGTAGGTACGCGCGAAAGCGTTACGCAACGATCGTCGACGAGAAATTGTCCGCTCGATCCGAGTCCTCGGGAGACACCGACCATTCCAATTTCCAGGCTCGGTAGCGCGAGCGTCGATCGGCCGATTTTCCCTCGAGCGACGAGGGAACTTTCTCCTCGGGCTCGGGCTCGGTCCCGGGTTCGGGCTCGGGCTCGAGTTAGGTGCGCACGGTGGTCGCGCGGCGCCGTGGAAGGGAGCGAAATATTTAAAAATCACTGATATCGCCGTATGGCGTTGCGCAACCAGACTCGACCTACGAGCGCGCAGCTTTTCAAGTCGACCGCTCGTACGTGCTCGGGAGCGTTCGTACCGGATTCGAACGAGAATGGGAATCGAATCGCGCGAGCAACGAAACTCCCGTTCCGTTCCGTTCCGTTCCGTTCCTTTTCGTTCCTTTCCGACCGATAGCCAAACGGTCGAGCGACGGATCGAGCGATCTCGTTTCGAACACCGGCCACCGGAGAAATTCCATAGTCGCGCCATAATTGCGAGCGCGTGACCCGTCGAGTAAGATTCCCGCCGAATTGTTACCTTCCTGCCATTGTCGACCCGTCCTAGAGCTATCGGGAATGCGTGTACGATTCGGCGACCGGACCGGGCCGGGAAATCGAACGATCGCGACGCTTCGGCGATCGGTGGCGATCCGTGAAACGAGCAGATAAATTGGTTCCTGGTTTCGGCTCGTCGACGAAGGATGCAACGAAACCGGTAACACGCTCTCGGTCGATACGCGCGCTGCGAAACGAATCGTTCCGCGGGGAGAACGCGTCCCTAAACGCCACCGATTATGGTCCGCGCGCGGACCACGGAGTCGAAGAGACGCAGCTGCGATACAACAAGTTGACCTAGGCCAGTGCCGCGGCTGCTGAAACTCGACGTCGGTGCTAGCACACGGGTGCCTGCCTGCTGCTGTTCGATGCCTCGTGCTAGTCCTGGGCTGCGAGTCGCGGCGAGCGCGCTATAATAAATATCTCCGAGCTCGGTCGAAGAAAAGAACTGCAAAACGGCGAGTTAAACCGGCTCCGGTGGATCCACCGGAAGAGACGCCGCCGCACGCCGATCCTTCTTACGACCTCGTTCCCTCGCCACGTGCACGTTCTATTCTCGAAAACACGTTCCCTATCCTTGCAGCGAGGCGGTCGCAGCAGCACAGTTTCCCGCCAAAACTTTCCGCTCGCTCGACCCTCCAACCGTCTCGCCGCTAGCCCGACGCTTTTCATTTCGCACTTCCTGCCCCGATCGACCAGTTTCCGAATACCCGACGAAACGATGGTTCGATCGACTCGATTTAGCAACCGACTCGTCTCTTTCGCGCGAAGGCGGTCTCTCTCTCTCTCTCTCTCTCTCTTCGGTCGAAACGATTCGAAGATAATCGATCCGTCGTCGGCCCCGATGACCACCGTCGTTATCCGAAGTCGATCGTAAACTCGAGCTTTCTTCCGAGCTCGCACGCATGACTCACGATCGAACGCCGTCGTCGCATCGCGTCGAGTCCCGTCGGCCGAACTCTTTCTCGATCAACACGTGTGCGTTTCCGACGCGTAACGCCGCACGACGACGCAGCTATCGAGCAACGAACGAAAACGGTCGTCTACGATCACGCGGTCTCCGATTAGGTGTCTCCGGAAAGCGACGAGCCAATTCGATCGGTCCTCGAACCGCGCCGCAGTCGTCGCCGACGAAACGTCTCCGTTGCGATTACCGCGTCGATACTGCTGTTCGTCATCGGTGAAACGGTGCACGAACCGCGAAAAGGCTTGTCCCTTATCCGCGACACGAACTCGCGAGCTTTCGCCAGCTTTCGCGGGCATTCGCGAGCGTTCGCGCGGGTGGATATTGCGCACGCGGCCGCGCCGATCACGAGATAACGTTAATACAATAAGCAAACGTGTAACCAGGGCTGCGCGACGCGACGGTGTCCCAAGGGAGGATATTTTGACCTGCGCGATTTCGTTCGCGTTTTTCGCGTCGCTGTTCCCCGGCCCGTGTGCCACCGAGCTGCGAGCTGCGAGCTGCGAGCTGCGAGCACCGACACTGCCACCGCCGTTATTCCCTGCTAATTAGCCAACGAATGATCGATCGGGGGAAACGTTAATTGAATCGAACGATGAACTGGGCGGTTCTGCCCGACCGAAACGGGCAAACGGAACTATTGTTTAACCGTTCGAGTTCTATCGGTTTATATACCGATTCTATTTAATATCGAGCACCGATCCGCTATTTTTCGCAAACTTTTGTGCTCGTTTACCGCGCGTATCGATAACCTTTGTTCAACTTCTATGGTACGCGCGACGCCATCTTTGACGCGGATAGATACTTTCCAAACCGATTCAAGTTCCATTCGATGACGCGCGCGTTACGTTCGAAAAATTGACGAAATCATTCCGGTGTACAGCAGGGTCGAACGTAGTTACGAGTCGCGATAATGCCGGCATCGGCGGAATCGCTCGGTCGTGTTTCTTTAAAAACGCGAATCTCGTAGATCGATCGCGGATCGAAACCGAAACGAAAAGAAAACCGTTGGCGCTAAATAAAATGGAAATCTCCGTTGGATTCGGTGCGCCATCGTTCGCTAAAAAATACCGGTTCGTCGCAAAAACGTTTCGGAGGACACCGGTGTTGTGCGCTAGAAATGCATAAAATTCAGCTACGGTACGCGGCTCGCAACGGTTCGACATCCTCCGAGCAACGTCGAGGACAGTCATCGTCGATGAGGTCATTGTGAAAAAAAGAGAGTAGGGAGGAAGCGAGAAAGAGCGGGAGCTGGAGCAAGAGAGACGGAGAGAGGGGAGGAGAGAACTTTCGATGATTCGAAATGTGGACATTTCGAAAGGTTTCAACGAAAAGAAAGAATAAAAACTGTTCGGAACGCGATGCGTGGCTGCCTGCTGCTCGGCGGCAGTTGGAATTTCCGGCGACGGCTGAAACTTTAAACGTCAGCCTTGGCTCGAATTCATTAGCCGGCCAATTACCGACACGCTTCCAACGCTCGCCGAGTACAGGAGCGGACGAGCCACCTGACGACTTTCTGTGTCTAACGTCGACGCGCGTGTTTTACGCGTCGAAAGAGAGAGAATCACGGGCCTTCTTGCTGGCTTCGTTCTCTTCCATTCGGCGGAATCGAATATAAACAGACCGTTCGATAACAATAATAGCACTCCCACTTACGCAACGAGCATACTCGCGCTACCGCCGTGCATAACAATCGCAACGCCAACAAACTCCGCGACAATGCCGAATATCGTTTTTTCCATCTGCACGACGGAAGAAAAATTACGTCAACGATCGTTAGAACGCGAACGCGTTTACTCTCTTCTTCGTCGTCGCAGCCGAGTCGAAATGAAAATTTTCACCGGGCTCGACGGCTGTTCGGAAAATTATCGAAAGTTATTTGGCGTTGCATTCGCCATCCAGCGGGCACGAATAGTTGTACAAACGAACTGCAGCGATTTCAATTTTTCTGCACCACATTGTAATTCGGTTATCGACGCGAACGCGAAACGTTAATGAACGCGTACACGGTTACCAGGCGTCTCGTATCGTTTCCTTTATCGTTGAGGTTATGTCGAATGATATCGGTCAAAGTCACACGGCTCTATAACAGTTTATGTTGTTTGACATGCAATTTTCAATGTAAATACCACGGCATGCACGAGTTTACCAACAAATCTCTCTCACTTTATTCTTCGCGGATACACGGCGAAACAATACCGCGGAGCGTTGCACTTGCTATACAAGTTTCAATTCGTTAACGTCAACCGAATGTAAACATTATATCCCGTATCGAACGTTTGCCGACGACCGTACACGTGAACCAGTTTCACGGGTTTCGAGCGCGAAATGCAGCGGAAACGCTGTCATTGAACCTAACCTCGAAGCTACTCTGACCCTTCTATGTAACCGTAATTCAACGATGGAAAGTTAAACAAACGAAGGCAGGCTCTAGAAAATGCAAAGTCGTTGGAACGGGGGTACGGTGTAGAAAACAGCGTTTGGAATTTAAAAAAATAAGCAGGAGAGTAGGAAAATAGATTTTTACAAATTAGCCAGTAAAAAGCGCGAACCGAGCAGATGAAAAGAGAAGAAGGGACGAGTGCATCGATTATCGCCGGAAATCGTTGTCGATCGACGCGAATGAAATTGTGGCGGCAGCAACGAACCAACCGTCGTTCGGAAGACCGTTAACGTCTCGTAGAATATCGTAAAGAAAGGAGCGCAACGTTGTGCAATCGGGCGCGCTTCCATTTTCGACAATAGCCTCTCGAAGAAATATCGAGGACGATGAAGAGAAACCTCGAGTACGACGTGGACGGCGAAGCAAGGCGAAACGAGACGAGACAGGGCGAGACGCGACGAGTCGAGTCGAGACGAGACGAAACGAAATGAAACGAAACGAGACGAGACGAGACGAGACGAGACGAGACGAGACGAGACGAGACGAGACGAGACGAAACGAAACGAAATGAAACGGTACGATACGATACGATACGATACGATGCGAGACAGAGAAAACGCGTGACAGCACGGTTGAAGCGTTAAACAGGGAAATCGCAATGGATCAAGAAAGGAGCAGTATTTCTTGGTCGTGTTGCGACTTACGAGTTACGACGGGGACGAAGGCGAGAAGAGGCCAGTGAGGCCAGGCCGGCTGGCTCTGTTTGCCGGGGCCCCTCTCACCCGACGGAGAGTCGAAGAGAGAGAGCAGCTGCCTCCGAGAAAACGAACGAATACCAACGGCCTAACTGCCGCCGCCGCCGTCGCATTTCGTATCGTATCGTTTCGCATCGCACCGAAACGAAGCGTATCGTAGAATTCTCGAAGAATTTCGTTCTATTCATTCGCGCCTCCGTATCGCCGCCGAAACACGCGAGTCGATCGCGAATTCGCGGCTGAAATGTTAGGCTTGTTGTCCGACGGCGGTCGATCGATGGATAGTTTGGTGAAGGATGGACGGAATTTGGAACCGTGGCCGCGGGACGTGTAGCGCATACGTGGACTCGTTGGTTCGCGAATGACCAACCGACTGGCTGCCGTCGGTAGCCATTTTAATTAACGTACTCGGACAACGCGTATCCCTCGTTCCGAGAAACTGCAGCATGTTCCCGGCAGCAAGGCGGAAAAGGTTGCCGCGTTCTTCGAACGAGTCGCACTTGCTACGCACCTCGGTAACGGACACTGTGCGCGTTCGACGAACGTTAAGATCGCGACCACGACGGCCGTCGCCCACGAACCCGTCCGTCGCCACGGTTATTTTCGATCCACCGGCTGCCCGATCGCGACGATACCGACAACGACGCGTACGTTTCTTCCGTTGACTCGAGGGTAGACAGGGCCGAGCACGAGCAAATCGAACGGAACGATGCAATTACGTCGTCGAAGTGAAAACCCCGAGGACACAAGTTTCTCGAAGCCCGACGGGCAGCCATCTTGGCTAGGCACAACCAGTTGTCGACCGTTTTCGCACGATTTTTCGCGCGTTCGAGCAACGAACAGCGATTCCGCTGAAACACGCTGATGCCTCCGCTTTGGAAGGCACGTGTCGCTGTCCTGTCGCATCGGAAATTACGCTGAATCGCGTATCGCCGTTAAAGTATTGCGAGAAAAATGCAACGAAGTAACACCGCGTATAGAGAAGGATGTCTGCGCGTTTCTTTCTCTTTCTATATGTATTTCTATCTTCCTCCCTCGCACAGTCGATCCGTCTCGCTCCGGTTCGCTCTGTCTCGCTCCCGCGCACTCTACCTCTCTCTCTCTCCGTCTCGCTGTCTTTCTCGTTCTCGAACAGGCGGCCAGACCCGCTGCTGGCCCGTATCCCGTATGCGTCGGGCGACGATTCGCGTGGTTCTCCGTTGCCGAGAATATAACGATAAACGAATTGTCTTTACCTGGTCGCGGTTGTTCCATGTATAGATCCACAAGGGGACACGCGAGAGCACGAGTCACTTAGGTACCGACACACAGGGCTCGCGTGTAATCACGATCACCAATTATCTCGCGACAACGGCGTCACATTTCACACAAATCAACAAAGGTTACCCACTTGACAAAGATGGCGGTCGCGGGGGTTACACACTGCGCGCACGCGGTGGGGAGCGCACTGCGCACACCGCGCTCTCGGCCACGACGGAATCACGAAGAAACACAGTCGTAGCGGCACGCGTTCGCCTCGACCAATCAAACGTTCCACTTTGACTCGCACACTCTCGTTACCGGTCACACGTGCGTGCGTCGTGTTTCGTTGCCGTCGTCGTTGCACCGCTCGACGGCGCGGCTGCGCGCGCGCACACCCTGACCGAGCGTATATACAGAGGTACAACCGTGTTCCCTTGCTCGCGCACAACCACACACACGCACGCACGCACACACACCTCGTACACGTATACCGTGTACGCGCTATGCCGTGTGGGATAGCCACAGGCCACAGGAGCCAGGAGCAAGAGGTTTACTGCGTGGCCAAGCAGAAGTCGCGACGAATGCGAATACCGAATTACCGAATGTACTGAAACCAACCCGATGTCGCGGCGGAGACTGCCGTGTCGTGTCTCTCCGTCTCTCTGTTCCTGTGCAACTACGCTTCTACCTCCACTATGGCCGCCTACTTCACGCTTGCTTTAACCATTCCCAATCGGCTTCTCGACGCGGCAGCGCGCGCGACTACTACACGACGATATGCCGGCAGCTTTGTCAACGAGCTTCAGGGCTGTATTTACCCGTCAGCGAACCATGTGTCTGCACATAAATATATCGAAAAGAAATAATTACCGAATTACTATTACGCCTCGTCAGTCCCTTGCTTTTCTCTTGACAACACGCGGTATGCTAACGCGATTAACGCATGTTACGGGTTTTATCGTCGCTACATTATCTTAATAATTCTCGTCACAAAATTCTATAGATGATCTCTCGTCTCCGTTGTTTGTTGTTTCAACAAACTGACATTTTATCACTATCCGAATTGAAATGGAAGACGATTGTTCAAAATTTTAATACGATCGAATCTATTTTCAATGCAATCGATGAAATGCAATAAAATGCAATAAAATGCAATTTTAATTTTTTGACAAAAATTTTTATCTCTAAATGTTTCGATGATATTTTACTACGACTTCGTTCGCGAACAAAATGACGTTACTTCTGCTACAGTATAAGCAAAACACCATGCCGTGTGCAATTTCGTAATGAGATTATTGATTTTTTTAAGAACTGCCTTTACCCCGTCTCGCGACGACCGCGTACGTCTTTATCGCTACATCACCGTCCTACTCTATACACTATACACTATACTATACACTGCTGCATTTACGTAGTGAACGACGCAGGCGTGCCGCGCGATCGCGATAACTGTTTTTCGACTAACATTATTTCAACCAGTGCCCTTACCTTTTATTATACCTGTAAGTATACAACCCAATGACCACGTTGCAGGTGATTGTATTGATCTTTCGAGTTCCGCATAAATTAAGTTCTCATAAGGATGACATTGTTTGCTGACTTTTTAATATTTACGATCAAATGTTATCTCCATAGCACAATTTATTAAACGATCTATCGTTGAATGGTGTCTCGATGAAACGAAAATGCAATTGGTACGCATGTTAAAATTCTATTGTTCCACTACAGATACAGTAAAATAACATCGATCGTAACATCCTTTCTCCGAATCAATATTTATTTATATAAGCCATTCACAAAAGACAATCTCGTGTACGAGTAAAATATAAAAATAATAGTACTCCAGATATGTCTCTGAGGTAACTGTTTAACGATTAAGGAAATCAACTTAAAAATTAATAAATCCGTTTATTAAGTACACAATTCACACAATTATCAAACGATTAAGAATTATCAAGGAGTAAAATTAGGTTTCCCTTCGTAAGTACATCCGGATCTTTGTATAATTTCAGTTGCAGCCCATATGCCACATTTTATACAAATATCTATGTTTTTACCTTGTATAAGTTGTGCCAAAAAACCTGAAACGCGTAAGAACATGTTGATACTCTTTAAAGAAAGCACTCGTTTGTAATTAAATAGAAGGGCAATGGAAATCTACCTCCTACAAAAGCATCTCCTGCACAATTTGTATCCACAACCTTTTCCGGTGGAAGCCTAGTAGTGGGAAACTCTGTTACGCTATTGTCTTTGGCCAATAACACGTTATCAGCACCCTGCGTTATCACAATAATTCTTTCCCTTCGTTTATTAACTTTCTCCATTTTGCACAATTTCAATGCAATTTCTTTCCTGTCCATAGTCTGAAAATTATTCACTTTCGCAAAGGTCTCTGCCTCTGTTTCATTGCCAAATAAAATATCAACGTATGGAAGAGCTGCCAGCATAGGTTCCTTATAGAATTCGCATAAAAATGGAGCACCGAGATTCATTATAAACATTTTATTGTTCTCATAAGCATGCTGTGCTACCGCTTGGATCGTTTCTGGAGTCACGGTTAAGAAGAATCCCTACAATTTAAAACTTTAATGATTCTCGGTTGACGGAATATTAGACATTTAAACGCAATTACAAGTTTCTACTTATCGAATGCTTACAGAGAGATAAATATATTCAGCCGCGTCTATCAGTTTCTTATTTTCTATTTCTTCTATATGAGAAGGTAAAAAACAATTGGCAGCTGCTAAATTAGCGCACAAAGATCTCTCGTTTCCAGTAATGAGAACCGCACAGGTACCTGTACTTTCTTTATCGGTGTATTGATAGCGTACGTTCAAGCCATCCGCCTGTGCTCTGTCCTCTAAAATTCTCGAATACTTGTCCGTTCCCACGCAACCCATGTAAGTTGCAATCTTTGGTTTATCCAGAAACCACTAAACAAGAGAGTACATGTTTATCGTTATCCAAAATTTAGTGCAATGCCGTGTACTCGATTATGTCTGAATAAATTTACTTGCGCTACTCTCATAGTGTTCTGTACAGAACCACCAGCGATAAAGTCTGCTTTGTATTTTTCTATTAATTCTTCGTACATGGGTTTGTGTTTCTCTTCCGCGAGAATCGCATTATTTGATTTTAAATCATATTTCTTTAAAAAATCATTATCTACAGTTGCTGAAATGTCGAGAAGGGGATTGCCCAATCCCAATAGGAGCCCTTCTCTGAAATATATTGGTATTATTACAGCGTTCGAAAGCGCAATTTTTTACAATGAAATATTCTAATGCTACCTCGCACATTACACAAACTCGATTACGATAAAAATAGATTCTAATATTTCGCAAAAAATTTTGAAACGGGTTCCTCATACCCCTGCTCCAATCCTGAGAGTTACATAAACCGTATCATTTCTGCCATCGTGCTGTTCAAATTTGAAGGAGAGTGATAATTATAAACATCAACGCGTACGTCGCTTAAATAATAAAAACTCTAGACAATTTATGACCTTACGTATCATGAATTCACATTATTTCTGAGACAAAAAATGTAACCAAACTTTTCACACGCCCCTGCAAGCACATGATCGCAGAGAAACATAACCTCTAACGCGTACCAAGGTATCAGCGAGTTCGTTCGAAAACATAAAAACATCAATGGTTCGGTGTATATGATTACCTTAAGTCCTGTGCCATTTGTAATCGTTTTTCTGTCTACGGGAAATAAAAAAGAGCGAGATTCACAGTTACTGTACACGAATGGCGATTGATGTATCACCAATATGATATTTCACAGCGGTACGATTCCTTCCTTCACGACGCAGGGTCAAATGACATCACGTGGATTTTCAGTTCTATTTTACATGAGAATGTTATCGCCACGGTTGTTGCTAAATGTCACAGAATAATCTTACGATAACGCACAGCGAGGGATAAATGTAGATACAGTACACAGACGGTTCTGCATATAGAACATTTCCAACTACCGCCTATTCATCTACTACGAATACTTGTTTATTTTACAAGCTTACCTGCTTACGCACAAACGTAGAACCATGTTGTTTACACAGTTTATTTTTGTCCAACACTATGTACCGAAATGCACAGTATCTTAGAGCAGCGACGAATTCGCGCCTCTGCTTACGAATATTTCAATTTTCGTTCGAGGTGTATATTCGATAATGCTAAACGCGCTGAAACCGATTTCAAACTAGTAATTTGAAATTGATCGATCGGGTCCAGAGTAAGATTCTTCGGTGCATCGTCTGCGCACGCGATTAGATTGCATAATCGAAGAGGAAAAATCTCATCTGGAATAAATTAACTGCGCGTTTCGAATCCTTGAAACGATAGAACATAACGTACGAGGTTTTTCTAGTGTAAGAAAATAAAACGATAGGAATGTGAGTTCTCTCAAGCTTGGAGTGATATATTTTTAATAAAAATACAGCACATCTCGTGTTTACTCGCAACATCTATTTATTTACAAATCGAAATGCCAGCTTGGGTGAAACTTTTTGAAAAATTTTCGATCGACGTGCAAATACCGTTTTCCCTTTCGCGAGAACATCCACGAGCGAATCTGGGCGCAGGACGCAAACTGCTTCGTATACTTTACCTGACATTTACGTGGGTTACTTACCGCTGAACATAAACGTTTCAGTGATTTCGATACGTCTTTTCGGAGGCATATTGCGTGAAAAGATCGGATAATGCGGGAGATTCGAAAGAAAGACTCACGGACGTCGGAAAGATATCGTGCAAAAGCGCAAGCGCTCGAGCAATTCCCGCGCGAAACTCGATCGTCGTCGCGCGCATCTCGCGCGCATATTTCGCATCAACGAATCGGAGAAGAAAGAAATGCGACCGGGATAAAGGAGAATTGGATGGATTTCTGCATATAGGCGGATATATATGTACGTATGCGTGTCTCTGTCCGTATCTATGTATGCATGTACGTATGTGTATATACATATGTATGAGACAGATACGAGAGAGTGAGAAAGAGGGAGGGTGGAAGGGAGGGAGGGAGGGAGGGAGGGAGAGAAAGAGAAAGAAGTATTCGCTTTGTTCTTTTCTTTTTTACGGTACCTTCCTTCTTCCCCACACAGCAGAGAAAGACATATTAGAAAATTCCAATCGCTAGCGATATAGAGAAGAAGTGTCGGGAGTGTGAAATGTTGCGCAGCAGCGTCTCTCGCCATTGCCAATGTTAGAAGAAGTAGTTTAGTCTGGGCACACCTATATTCGCACATGAGAATCTTCCTCGCAATGCGGACGTGTGTGTGTTCTAGCCGCATCTCCTGGGAAAGAAAACATGGCTCTCAAAGCGCGTTCGCCGGACAGAGAACAATAAACCGAATGTGAAATTTAATGGCGTGTCAGAGACAGATAGAACACGAGCGAACATGTTGTTTCTTTTTTATTTTATTTTCGCTAGATTCTCGTTGATTTTCCGTTCCGACTCGCTTTCTTACGGTAGACAGAGAGTGAGTGAGAGAGATAGAGAGAGAGAGAGATAGAGAGAGATAGAGAGAGAGAGAGAGAGAGAGAGAGAGAGAGAGAGAGAGACAGAGAGATCAGAATTGACGATTGATTACTGAGAGGCTGTGGATGGACTTGCCTTGGTTAAACGTGGTCTCGCAGCTCGTATATGTCTGCGTTGGCTGCAACAGCGTCTCTCTGTGCGTGCGTACACGCGCTTGTGCCTTGTCAATGGAACACAGAGAAGTCCCTCTCCGCACACCTGGTCGACAATATTACCTCTCGCCACATGACGGTACGGGACGGGACGGGACCGGACACGTTGAAACTCTCTCAACCCTTTCGCTCTGTTCCGCGTACTCGTGGAACATCGTCAAGCCCAGAGCTCCTTCCATGATTGTCCAGAAGCGCGCTTGTCGGGGGGTAGAGGTTATCGTGTCCTATATCATACATCACATTACAATACGCATTGTGTCTTTTTAGCATTTCCATGTGGCGCGGTGTCTCTCTATTACTGTTTGAGTTTTTGGTAATTGGCAACCGACGACCCGGCGGCGCGAGGCAACGTATTTGTTCTCTATATCGTCGCGCAACGTTCTGAACAGGATTCGAACGCACGTCCCGGTGCCGGTTGTACACAGACCGATGTTATACTTTGATACTGTTTTGATTATGCTCTATACATCTCGGTGCTCACGCACGCATTATATACAGCGAAGATACACCGTCGTTGTCCCGGTCCCGATTTGCGTGGTCGATTACCGGTCGATCTCTTTTTATTACTGTACAGTTTACTTTTTTTTTTGGATTTTTTACTTTTGATTTGCTGCGCTTCGATTTTTCCGTTTCCGTTTTCTACGTTCGTTTTCCGCCGTTACTCTTCCGGTCCTCTATGCGATCCGTTCTCGTCTCTCGAAAGTCGCGTATCTCATCCGTTTTATCGGCCATCGACTGATCCACGATCCACGATCCACGATCCACGTTTTCTATGATATCGGTGAGAAGAGAGACGGCTCTGTCGAGGGACTCGTTCGTTAGTTAGTTTGTTTGTATCGTTCGTTCGTTCGTGCGTGCGTCGTTCGTTCGTTTGTTTGTTCGTTTATGCGATGTGCTTGCGGGGGTCCGGAGGAGGAGTGCGTCCCGATCTGCGAGCTAATAGTTCTCGTCGGCATATATTATACCATTCTCGGTGCATATACGATATACATACACATACCCATACATATATCTATATATTTATACATATGTATATGCATATGCGTGTGTCTGGGCGCGTGCGCGCGTACTTTGCGTGCAAACGTGTACATATATATACGAGCATGTCCCCACGTATAACCGACGACCACGTATTTGCATTTGCACATGACCGGTTGCAACGGCTTGGAAATATATCGTTCGCATCGAGAGACTACCCAGAACTGGTTTCCGTGTGTATTGTGCATGGATCACCGTGGATTTTCCTATCGACGTGTTTACGCACACACACGTTTCGCCGATAGAACCGCAATATCTTCGAAACAATCGGCGTATTCGTACACGTTAGTGGACGTATTATCTCGTCGCGAACCGTGGCGGCGACGACGACGACGACGACGACGACGACGACGACGACGAACAAGGCTCCGAAAGGTGTGCGTGAGCTCTCCATATTCGACTCTCGGTATTGCCTACACACACGCATGGACCTATCTATCCGTGCTCTAATCCCGTGGCCCGTGGCTAGTTCCGTTCCGGTCGTCTTTCTTTATTTTTTTTTTTTTTTTTTTTTTAAGTCATGCTCGTTTTTTGACATATACTCCGTGGGTTCTAGATGAGGGCGTCGCCGAAAATCACCTTCGACGCACCGGCTTCTAATTGCGTAACGCTGGGACGTATATAGACGCACGACACACGCATCTACGTTACGGCGAGCGAAACTATACTCTCGTGAGCTTAGGAGAAAGGAAACCGTCGTCGACCAATCGGAAAAAAAAGTCAACTCCATTGCCGGTCTCCGGGTTTTAGTTCCGTTTTCCTCCCGTTTCTCTCCCCGGTTGTTTTCTCGGTTGTTCCCGGTTCGCGAGGACCGAACCGTGTTTCCGTTCCTCTCCGTTCTTCAAGTTATGCTCGCTCGTTCTCGTGCACGCGGCCGTGAAAAAGAGAGAATAATCTCGCGATCGAATTCCTTCCTTTCCTCGGTCGCGGTGCGTCCCCACGGCCGGTCGCTTGGTACGATCGAAAGGAGACAAGCGAAAAAATCAAGCTCCGTTCCAGCGACGATCGACTTGGCTTTAAGATACACCCGTGCGCTGCTACGTATCACCCTCGAACTCTTCGACGGACCTTAATTATTCCTTATTCTTAATATTCCTAGTCTAACACTTTCGAACGACCGAATTCGCGAATTCGCGAAAAAGAAAAACGAGCTCGCGACGAAACCTCGAAGGAGGAGGGTCGATGCGTCTCGTTTTTGGTCTCTAGCGGTGACAAAGGAGCAAGGTTTCAATGGCAACAAAATACTCGTGTGCGTTCGTTCCACTCCTCGAAAGAAAGGAGAGAGAGAGAGAGAGAGAGAGAGAGAGAGAGAGAGAGAGATCGGACCAGGAAAATGACCGAGTATACCTAAACTAATGGCGGGGTATCATCATATGGAGGCTTGATTCGAGTAGATGGTAGAGAAACAAAGAAAGTATGGATAAGCGAAAAAGTTCTTTGGACTCCGGGGGCGGAAAATAGTTTCGTGAATGGAGGAAATCGGGATCGAGATCGAAGCGCGTCGACAGATCCGGGACCGCGGCAGAGATGCGCGACGCGCAGGAAGCCAGCGAAACGTGCGATCACGGACTATCGCGCGAAACGTACACGCGTATCTCGCGCGGATCGGACTTTTATGATATGTGTGTGTGTGAGAGAAAGAAAGAAAGAAAGAAAGAGAGAGAGAGAGAGAGAGAGAGAAAGCAAGCGGTAGAAAGAGATAGAAGAGGGGGTGGTGGTTGTTTCAAGAGGTGAACCGGATAACGACGAGAAAAACGGTGACGGTGATGTATAGAATTAAAGAACACGCAAAACGCCGTATTTTTTTGTTTTGTGAATTCCACAAGTACATTTGTTATTACATATTCGTTTGTCTTTAATCCATTATCATTACGATTACCATTATTAATATAATTATCATTGAAAACGCGGGTGTGTCTTGTCGACGAAATAACGAGGAGACCCACTTGCGGCGGGGAAGAGAATAATAAAAGGGGTGTTGTGTCGTGAGGTTCGGAAAAAAAGGGGGTGGTGGCGAAAGACATCTCGACGCATCAACGTGCGACACACGTTGTTCGGAACGAAACAAAATCGGAAGGATAACGGGCGATCCATCGTTATCGATTACGGTACGTATAAGCTTAAAACGGAACGCACTTACGGCGGACCTACCACAATTAGTTTCTCGGTAATTCTGCACTTTTAGCGTTTCCTTTCTTGTTGTGTTTTCTCTTTTACGTCAATTAATCCTAATTTGTTAATAAAACGGTATTATTACGTGTACTACAGGCTAACGATATAATGTTCGCACGACCCGCTCGGGTTCCCATACAGAACCGACGCATCGTCGTTCTACGAGTATCTCTACGTTATATGTCGGACAAAAGATCAAAAAACAAAACAAAAAAAATAGAAGAAACGGAAAAGAAGAAAGTTTGTCAACCCTTACGAATTACTTATTCTTTTATCTCATTTTTTTTTCTTTTTCTTTATATACGGATCGGCGGGACAATTCCTGGACAGTCGAACCTGCACGCTTTTCTCGTCTCGTCTCGTTTCTCGGAAAGAATGATCTGCGCGTAATTGGTGTGCACGATTTCTGCGTTACTGTCACCGTTCTCTACCGTTCGTACTGTCAAGCTTTACTCCTCAAAGATTTCTCGGTTCGCGCGTGGCGTATAAATAAATCGGGTCTCGTCGCGACGACGACGCAACGCTACACCGATCGGTGAAACGTCCGAGAGATTTCGAAACAAACGTTCCAGACAAATTCGACGAGAGGCGGCGACGACGCGACGGAACGCGCGACTTTCTGTTCCACGTGTTCGCGCGGCTGATCTTCGAACAAATCGTGACGATCTATGGGAAGCGACGAGGGTTACGATCCACCGATCACGCGCGCAATCGATCGTCCCCGTGTGTGTGGTGTTGTTCTTTTGCTGCTACGAAATCGTCGACGCCTTCGAAACACGCACATCTATCGGAACGACTCTCTCTCGGATTAACGTTACAATAATTGGAGACACGCATATATATCACGGACGTCCGCTGCTCGAGCAACAGTTTTGCCGCGGAAATTTACGCTGATCTGAACGCGACGCGTTCCGCTGCGGGACTCGAGAGACAACGAAGAAGGTATACGGTGGTGTAAAGGGCCGTTCGACTCGTTTCTCCACACGATGCTCCGCGACTGCAACCGTAATCGAGATTTTTTTAAACCAGCGTTCGAGTGCTTTTGGGCTCACGACCGAATGGAAACGAACGCGCGCATAGTTCGCGTCGCGAAGAAACGGCTGTGCAAGGGAGAAATCAGCAGAGCATGGTGTGTGTCAATATTTATATATATATATATATATATATATATGGTCACCAAAAGCATCATCCTACCGAAGCGTTCGTTCGAGCTTTGGCCTTCAACGATATTCCTCCACGAAGTGCGAATACAGATCTTTGCTGTTTTACGCGAACGATACTCGTACACCGGACACGTTTGTGTTCACGAAAAGCGAATTCTCGAAGGATTCTCTCGGTGGGAGGATGCCAATGTGGATCGTAATCTTGTTGTACATCGAGAAAACGCCTAAATGCGATCGAACGACGGGGCGCGTCTCGTCCTCGGCGATGCGGTAAAGACTATTATTGCGGAGGACAATCCGTCTACAGGACACGGAAAGCGGGAAACGAAGAAATCATGGTCGTGACGGTGAATAGTTTCCGGGGAGACTGGATAAAAGAGAAACCGGACCGGTCGAGAGAGGAGGAGGCGAGGCGCGCGTGTAACAAGAAAAGTGTTGCGAATTTTCGGTACTTCTTCGACGATTTATCCGATCGGTTTTTAGCATCGGTTGATTCGGTATTCATTTTGTTTTGTTTTTTCGTTTTAAGCGTCTCGTTCGGCGTTCGATGGCCTCTCGGTTTTCATTTGCGGTTAATCCGTCTATAACGTTACATGTGTACTTAGTTCCGATAGAGCGGTCGGGCGAGCGTGTATGGTGGATCTTCGCGCGTGCAGATCGACAGACGGCCAAGAGTAACTCGGTCCCGAGGCTTCCTGTTAGCGATAGACAGACTCGACAGACTTCGACGACGACGACGACGATGACGACGACGACGACGAAGACGACGACGACGAAGACGACGAGGACGACGACGACGACGACGACAGACAGACACAGACAGAGCGACACAGACCGATCCCGACGCGACGATTTAGTATGGTGCGAACCGGCGCGACGGCGATGGCCCTCGTAATCCCGGTCTGGTAACCAAAATGAGAAGCAGCCACACGTCAGTTACACGAGATCGGAGCACAAGAAACGATTCTTGTTCGTCCGTTTCTTTCATTCGCTTTGCTTTAAACACGGGCTAAGAAGTGGGGAGCAACTGGTGGTGAGATACTGATAGGGCGGTAGGTGGTAGTAGGTAAGTAGACAGGGATGCCACTGTGAAAAGAAAGAAATCAAAAGTTACACTGTACCGACTAACGGACGGAAATTTTTATACCAAAAGGAGCGTCGTGTTTTTATATATATATATATATATATATATATATATATATATACCAAAAGACGCAGAGTCGGATCAGGGAAACAAATTTCATTCGGGAGATTGTGAGAGAACAAACAGATGGATCGAACTAACTTTCTTTCTTAAATACGAAGACAGAGAGTGAGAGAGTAGTAGTGCTTCTTCCTCGTTTTTCTCGCTAACGATCGCGCGGGTAGGGGGGCCTCTCTTCTCCCCTCGAAACGAGCGGTTCGACCACGGTGATGCGCAAACAACGAGCGACCGACAGAGTTAGAGAGAAAGATAGAGTTGAAGGGAGAGTAAGATCAAAGGGAGAAAAAGATGGAGACGTGGAGAGAGAGAGAGAGAGAGAGAGAGAGAGAGAGAGAGAGAGAGAGAGAGAGGGCGAGAAAGAGAATCGAACACGCGCAGTAAACGTTCAACGATTTGGGCTTGGTGCGTGAGAGACCCATCGGTACACGTCTACTTACCTACGCTCTTCGAATGAATCTCGGCTGAAGTCCTCGTACATGCCTCTACTATAAACAGCGATATAATAAATAATCGAGTCTACGGAATTGGTAAGATCAACATATACCATGTACTTGCTCCCTTGTCCAAGGCTTAACTTTGTGAATTAGTCCCTGTATATTCAACGTGCAACTAATCATGGCCGCGTGCTGCCTAATATGACTGTCGAGGAAGATGCGCGTGCGGCACGAGCCGTCGACGAGTGTCTCTCCGCTTCGAATTATACTTGTACGGTACACGAGATATGCTAAAAGCCGAGCGATACGAAGCAAGCAGCGGATCGTTTCGCGTTACGGTTCACCGACCGTCGTTCGACCTTATTTTCGAACGATTCGCATGCGATTCAAACGCATCGTCGAGACTAACGTCCACGTGGAAAATCAAGTCGATCAAAAGTTCTGTTTTTCCGTTCGAATCGCTTCGCGCTCGGCTATAGCACCGGCCGCTCGATATTTTCGCAAGTCCCGCGCCTCGGTGTGCACGTGTATAGAGAGCTTTGGGAACGGGCGAAGCTGAAAAGCTGTCTGGAACGGAGGAGGGAAGAAGCCGTGTAACGTTTCTGATCGAGCGCTCGGAGCGCGGCGCTCGAACAGATCCCGATACTTTTCGTTTAGGCGGTGAGAAACGTATGAGAGGCGATTCAAGACGCCAGAAGACAAGACCAACCCAACCGACGCACGACCACTGAGAACGATCGCATGAAAACAGGGTTACGAGGACGAACTTCCGGCGAAGACGCAGGCAATGTGGAATACCATTCGGTGTATCTCGAGTCCTAAACACGCATGTTCAACGAGAGCGGCGCAGCATCGAGGAGCAGAGCCATGAAACGCACGTTTTACAGCCGTGATCGGTAGAGCGAATGGTAACGACTCGAAGGGAACAAACGGTTAAATGCGAGTGCAAATTCGCGAAAAGTTTTTTCCTCGAAAGGCCTGTGTGATCTGAAAAAATCGTTTGGAGCGTCCCTAACCGCATCGTCATGGCGGGCCTACATCCTATTATTCTGCTTGGCTAACCTATTTATTACTTACATGCCTAAGGAATTCGAGTGCAAAGCAGCGACGAGTATTTCTGTCCGCCTTTTATTCGGTACACGAGATACAATCGTTAGAAACGAGTCGCGAATTGATCGATGCACGCCCTATAATTATGGTACAAGTTTCGTATAGCGTGCGAATTTCTTAAAACAGCTAAACGATGTCCCTTTTTCTTTCTTTTGTTTTTTTCCTTTGCTATTTAACCGATCGTTTCGTTCGTCTTTGGCCAGTCATATGAGGCAGGCGGCGTTAATCTGGATTCTTAACCCATGCGACTTATTTCGAAATGTGAGTGAGTGAGAGAGTGAAAGAGAAAGAGAGAGAGAGAGAGAGAGAGAGAGAGAGAAATATGTATATATCGTAAATTCGTGATCAGAGCGTGAACGAGCCATTTGCAGCTCAGGCTGGGATCATGTAGGATAAATAAGGTAACGTGCAACAACAAATTCAAAGTATTCAGAACGATTGAGAAGTTCAATCAACTCTTGTTTCTCTATTTGAAAGTATTTTGCGAATGGATTTACATACATGAAAAGCTTTGAACCTCGTGAGTAGAAGTCAGCTTCAAGAACTATGGATCACCGATTTTACCGAACATGTACAACACAAGTGATCGCGTGTTCGCAACGCGCACGGTTTCTATCTTTTTTTTTCGATTCGTTTCTTTGCTTTGCTTGGACAGAGGGCCGTTTCACGGAGCAACGTATTTATGGGGGATCGATCGTTATCGGAGAATTGAAATCGCGAATTTGTCCATAATCTCGGGGTAGAAGCAATTTAACCTCGAGACGACAACACCCAACGAGATGCTTCGATCTCGAGGCGTAGAAAACAATTGATACGATAGCACACGATTGGATAGAGAAAATGACGATTGCGTAATCTTTTGAGCCGGTAAAAAGAAGCGTGAGACCGAATCATTTACCACGGATCGTACGACAAAAGTACCTACCGACCGAAAGATAATTTTTCATCTTGTAAAAGGTATGATATTTGCGAAGGGAGACACGCGTGCTCCTTGAATGTGCACAACCGAAGAAAGCATTTAGTTTCGCTTGTCGATGCACCGCAATGCTAAATCTATCATATGCTAAAACGGAAACGATTCTGTTTTTACGGTTCGACGGTACGCGCGCGCAATCGAGAATCGACAAAATTTGTCGTGACCAAAGTTTTATATACATATATATATATGTGGTGCGTGTAGATACATATATATGTATGCATATATAAATATGGCTGGTAGAAGATATACGCGGGAAGCGAAAAACGAGTCGTTCTTTAATTGTTTTTTCTTTTTGTTTTTGTTTTTGTCGAAGGAGAAGCGTGTCTATGAAACTGGCCTTAACATCTACTTAGAAACGGCGGTGTACAAAAAAAAAACTTACTGTCCAATTCGTCTGGAGAGCTGGTTTCTACTTACGAGACGTTTCAAAGACAATCGATAGGCGCCGTTCCTGAAAATCGCGCCAGCCCTTTTTGTTTTCTCTTTTCTTTTTTGTTTCTATCTACAGCGGTACCGAGAGTTCGTTTTAAATTGTAGATCGCATATCCTGGCTCGCGGTAGTGCGATCAAGAAATCTAGTTCGCATTCCTTAGGAACGTTTCTTCATCCCAGGCCTCCGCGCCACTCCCGGTCGAGTGATGTACGTAATAGGGAGCGCTTGAAACACAAAGGATTCATGAGAGACATACAGGCCAATCTCGCAGTTAACGCCATGGATCAAGAGAGTCTATGAACAGGGACATCCCTAGAAGAGCAGTCGACATGTTCAAGGCACGATCAGTCGAGACACCCGAATCTACACGCAATATGTGCGTGTACGTGTCGTTTTGTTTCTCATCGACATACGAATTCTTTCTGCGTGTTTTTGTTGTTCGCAAACATTCGATTTCCTCCGTTGTCGAGACACGACAATCGGTCGTTTTGCGTTTCTCGGCGGTTGATTCAAAATATTATAGAACGGCCACCCGATGTACAAACGCGCCAGCGACAAGAACGAGGCATGACTACTCGCTAACAAAAGTGGTCAAAGACTTACTCTTGCACGACTTGTACGTTGGCCCGGGACTGTCTCTCTAGGGTTGTCCGCATTCATGGACAAAGATGGTACGCAGCCTGAGGTGCACTGAAATTTAGAATGTACAGAAACGTCCAAGCGTCATATAATAACATTTGTACTATGCAGACTCTGCACTCATGTGGGCATCGGGTCGACACTTGTATTCAATAATTCGTTTTACCGAGATTAGAGAAAACCGGTTACTGTAATTACACGTGTATCTCAAACTAAGCAACCGAACAAAGAGAAAAACGATACGCATACGGCAAAATACTATATATCATGCTATATACGCGTCTAATTACGTATACCGTGCAATATGTAATCGTAATTTTAAATAGATAGGAGAAACAGCAGTAGGTAGAACGGATCAGACCAAAAACCAAATGCGAGAGAGAGAGAGAGAGAGAGAGAGAGAGAGAGAGAGAGAGAGAGAGAGAGAAAGGGGACAGATGTCTGTAACATAAATTTTCTATCGCGCGTACAAAAAATAAACCCCGAACTGGAAAACTCTACGAATTCGAGAAAAAAAAATAGTTGATCTTAAAGAGAGAAGCAACGAGAAAAGAAAAAAATATATATATATCCATCATCGGCAAGAAAGGAAGAATGTACGATTACAGAATATTATTGTATATGTATGGAAGTAAAGAAGTATGTCGACTTCATCACCGAACCCCAATTCGCATGAGCTGTTAATCCAGCCTGGAACGTTCACAATGTTAAGTCGGACGAATGGGCAGTCGGTACACGATGACTCTACTCACCTGAACCGGCCGTTGTTGCCACTCGGAGGGGGTGATCGGCGGCTGAACATTCCGTACTCGTTGCCACGGGAGAAGCCAGTGTCACGCATGGATCCCATACCTAGAGGAGGCATAGGAGGCATTGGGTCTCGTCTTGGGGGTAGAGGTGGCATTGTCATTGGTGGAAAGTCAAGCCCGCACATGGAACTTCCCATGTCACAGGGCCCTGTCATACCCGTAAACCGCCTCTCGTAGAGATCCCTGGTGTCCTCGAAGCCCCTCCTGTCATAGTAGCTTTCGTAGTCCTGTTGACGAAAATCAAACCACGCGACGCTATCAATCGTCTGACGCATAAACCGTTCTCGCTCCTCCCCCGCCTCATGGTATACATTTCTGAAAAATTTGTTTACCAATCTCGTCGCACGCTTTACCTACCGGAAGACCTATATCGATAGAATTCTCGGTCGCTGTTGGTTCTACCGAAAAGAAAGGTCGGAACAGCCGTTTAAACAACAGTCCCGAAAGATCTTAATTCTTGCCGATTGCCGAAGCGGCGGTAAACGTGTTAAGAACGATTGATCAACCGCTGGTAACCAAGTTGTTAAGGAACATATTTCTTTTGTTAGCTTTCGTCACTCGGTGCAAATTAATCTGGACAAGTTAACATCGATCGATGAAACGGAGGCGCCAAAGCGAAAAACGCTTGCTCGCTTTTGCTTCGTTAAAGCGTGGCAAGCACATTGTATCGCGTGGAATTCAAATTTGAATCGTGTATTCCGAATGCGTGGGGTACACGGTTAATCGGGGAAGTCGCGTGAGAAAGTTATGTATACCATAGTTTGGGGCAGACGGAGCATCTAGGATGAAAATGGCGAACGAACGGAGGGATACTTACTCCAAAGCGGCCACCACCCATCAGCCGGTCCCGAAGGAACGGTGGTGGCGGCGGTGGAGGATACGGGTCGCGTCCAAACATTCGTTCTCTGTATCCNAGAGAGAGAGAAAGGGGACAGATGTCTGTAACATAAATTTTCTATCGCGCGTACAAAAAATAAACCCCGAACTGGAAAACTCTACGAATTCGAGAAAAAAAAATAGTTGATCTTAAAGAGAGAAGCAACGAGAAAAGAAAAAAATATATATATATCCATCATCGGCAAGAAAGGAAGAATGTACGATTACAGAATATTATTGTATATGTATGGAAGTAAAGAAGTATGTCGACTTCATCACCGAACCCCAATTCGCATGAGCTGTTAATCCAGCCTGGAACGTTCACAATGTTAAGTCGGACGAATGGGCAGTCGGTACACGATGACTCTACTCACCTGAACCGGCCGTTGTTGCCACTCGGAGGGGGTGATCGGCGGCTGAACATTCCGTACTCGTTGCCACGGGAGAAGCCAGTGTCACGCATGGATCCCATACCTAGAGGAGGCATAGGAGGCATTGGGTCTCGTCTTGGGGGTAGAGGTGGCATTGTCATTGGTGGAAAGTCAAGCCCGCACATGGAACTTCCCATGTCACAGGGCCCTGTCATACCCGTAAACCGCCTCTCGTAGAGATCCCTGGTGTCCTCGAAGCCCCTCCTGTCATAGTAGCTTTCGTAGTCCTGTTGACGAAAATCAAACCACGCGACGCTATCAATCGTCTGACGCATAAACCGTTCTCGCTCCTCCCCCGCCTCATGGTATACATTTCTGAAAAATTTGTTTACCAATCTCGTCGCACGCTTTACCTACCGGAAGACCTATATCGATAGAATTCTCGGTCGCTGTTGGTTCTACCGAAAAGAAAGGTCGGAACAGCCGTTTAAACAACAGTCCCGAAAGATCTTAATTCTTGCCGATTGCCGAAGCGGCGGTAAACGTGTTAAGAACGATTGATCAACCGCTGGTAACCAAGTTGTTAAGGAACATATTTCTTTTGTTAGCTTTCGTCACTCGGTGCAAATTAATCTGGACAAGTTAACATCGATCGATGAAACGGAGGCGCCAAAGCGAAAAACGCTTGCTCGCTTTTGCTTCGTTAAAGCGTGGCAAGCACATTGTATCGCGTGGAATTCAAATTTGAATCGTGTATTCCGAATGCGTGGGGTACACGGTTAATCGGGGAAGTCGCGTGAGAAAGTTATGTATACCATAGTTTGGGGCAGACGGAGCATCTAGGATGAAAATGGCGAACGAACGGAGGGATACTTACTCCAAAGCGGCCACCACCCATCAGCCGGTCCCGAAGGAACGGTGGTGGCGGCGGTGGAGGATACGGGTCGCGTCCAAACATTCGTTCTCTGTATCCGTTCCTATCCGGTCCTCCTCCCATTCCTCCCTTGGGGCACTCCTTGGACCAGTGACCGCCGCGACCGCAGCGGTAGCATTGTTCCGGATCACCCATTCCTGGCCTCTGACGTACTCTGCTGGTGGAGATTTGAACCTTCATCGGTTGGCCGTCCACCATCTGCCCGTTCAACTCCTTGATGGCGTCATTGACGTCACCTGTTGCTTCTAGATGGACGAACCCGTAATTTCTCACGATATCGCACTCTACAACTGTGCCGTACTTGGCGAAAAGTTCGCGCACTTGCGGCGCCTTCGTGTTGTCTGTGAGATTGCCGACAAAGATTTTGGTCGTGGGAGTGTTCGGTCCCTTGCGACTCTTTGCAGCCTCGCATTTGATCGGCTGCCCGTGAACCACGTGGCCGTTCAGATTCTGTATCGCGTTCCTACCTGCCTCCTCGTTCTCCATATGCTGTTGCAAAAATAATTGTTCGATTAAATACGAAATACGGTAAATTCTTTCCAATCGTTCCTCCGCTTGGAAAGAAAAATGTAGAATTTGGGAAGAGCGTATACGATTGTTCGAGCCTACCGGCTCGGTTTTATAGTCGACGATCGTCGACGATTAGAAAAACGAGCCGCGAGGCTCGATCGATCGTATCTCCTCTTCCCGAATTGTTCCCATTTTTGTTTAGAAGCCGAGGCACGATTGGAGAAAATTTACCGTATCTCCGCACGGTTCGTTGATACACGGATTTCTATGAACCTCATTTTCATCGAAATAGCAAAAGCAAGAATAAACAAATATTAATGAATGAACGAAACAACTTGAAAGCAAAAAACACTTACCACAAAGCCATAGTTTTTGACCACGTCGCATTCTATGACCTTTCCGTATTTTTCAAACAACGGTTTAATATCGGCATTCGACGTCTTGTCGGCTAAATTACCGATGAAGATCTTAAATGTGCCAACGCTACTAAAACCCGGCATTTTCGGCTCGACCTAGAACCTAATTTCAAAAAACAAAATAAATCGTATATTATTCGTTGCCGATTCGTGCAACGACTTTAACGAGATAACGCGCCAAAAGAAACGGAGCAAAAAAAGAAAACGAATCCCTAAACCACTAGACGGAACGAGGAACCGTACTACCCACCTACTACTACTACTATATCACTACTACGCATATACTCTTACTCCGTTTCATTGTAACGTTAATTACGATGCATCGTAACATACGTTTCGCATACGTATGCGTACGCGTCGATTATTTCGATTGCACTGTAATCCCAAGAAATTTGTCCACGAAACCGTAACGTTGATCGAATCCGAGAAACGAATAAATTCGCGATGTTCAATGGCGACGCGGTGATTGTTTAGGTTCCCCCTCTAGCGCTTCCTTCCACCATTTTGCTAACGATCTAAGTTTTCGAATTTCGAAGGTCGCCGGATTATCTCTCGATATTAGACACGTAAGCCGATACGTTCGCGAAATATCGAAACTCGAGCAACTTTGTGTCCCGTTCGAACACGCATTCCACGGTTTTTAGTCCGGCGGAACGAGGAAAACGCGCGATCGGAACGCGAATATTCGGTACGCCGCGAAAGCACGCAGTATAGTGAGCGTACCGACCTTGTCGAAATGGCGCACGAATTCTATCAAACGTGTGGCGATCGGGTTTTTCCCCGTGAGCCGATGCCCATGCACTTTCGATTCACGCACCAGGCTCTTTCCCACTGCACTCACCGAATATTATCGCACCGAAACGACTATTTAACCAACGATTTCTCTCGGATCTGGACGATATGCTCCTCGCACAAGCACAACTTTACACAAGAGAACGCAATCTGGTAATGGCGTCTCCCCGCGTCCGCCTGCGCAGACTGTGGCGACAACAGTAGCCGCAGCTACTACGAGCGCCATCATGCGACGTCAACGAGTATCAACAAGAACTAAAGGCGAACAGGAAGCCGAAGCCGATCCTGAATGCATCGAAATGTGCCCTGTGTGCAGCGAACGTGTCTGTTCAACTGATTAATTGCACATAGTTTTGAACGATTTTTAAAATTCAAAATAGAAACATATTTCCTATCGGACTACGCAGAAGATACGAATCGTAACTTTCGTAAAGATAAAAGCATTTCCGATTTTCTTAACAAACCTATCGCGGACGACTTCCTGTGCCATAAATACAATCGGGCGGGAATCCGCCTTTTAGACTTTCACAAAATATATAATGTTCGTTACTCTTTGATAAAATCTGCTAAAATTTTGGTCCTGCAACGAAATAGTAGCCAACATATAAATATTATAAAACACATTGGACGCGTTTGCTGTTGTCACTCCGACCGGCTGCCGGCGTTCGGAACGCTATCGAAGCGTAAAACGATACTTAACGAGAAAAGACTAAACAATTTACCTATAAAACAGATTAGAAAATTGTTGGGAATTTCTACGTCAAAATTTCTTTTCGTCACGGACTAATATAAAGTATCCGAAATGCAGTACGTATTCGATAAGAGCTAAATACAATTGGAAGGTTGCCGGTGCGTTGCAAAATTGTGTATTATTCACAGCCAAGAAAAAGATACGCAATACAGGAATGTTACAAATAAGTACAAAGTTTATAGATATACATGCACAGATTGCATCTCAACTTGCAAGATAGTACACGTTTTTTTTAAACAAATTACACGTATATGTATATCGATGCATTTTTTGGAATTTTGTACGTTAGAAGTACGGATAGCAAAACTAGCGTGGAAAATTACCGAGCCGCTCGAAAATCAAGCTTTCTAAGTTCTCGCTTACGTATAACGAAGAAAAATGTGCATACATACGCGCGTACATATGTATGTACGTAAGTATGCATACGCGTTGAATAACAGAAAATATGATGCAATTCGTTGATCGCATAGATCGATCGAATATCGTTTATTTCGTACAAACGAGCGCGGATCGATGCTTAAAAGCGGCTAGAAACAGAACCAAGTACCAAACATGTTTCTTTTCGGAAAGCCAAGTGACGCGAAATGGCGTGCCTCGAATACCCTGCATATCGACGCAGAAATGTCGTAACAAATTCTACGATACGGATGTTGATTTAATCGCGTGTACTACATCAAAATGATAACTCCTTATACGAGAGACATATTAGTAATGTTTGAGTACTTACCAAGTCAGTATTTCCGTAAAACAACGCGATAAAACACGACGCGAAATCACACGCTCCCGAAGTAAAAAATGGCGGACCGCAACAGACTGAGTACTGAGCAGTGAAAAGCGGCGTCGGCGTCCCTTCCTCCGACGTGCGACGTGCTTCCGATTTTACGTCAGTGTCGCCAACCGATAGGACAGAAACTTTCTATAATTTCCAGGTTGTATATGCAGGCAGGTACATATCGATATTAAGCTATTCGTACAGCCTAAAAAACAAATATATATATATATATATATATACGTAAATAATAGCATGTAAAATAATAAAGGACAAACATTTGATTAAATGTTTAATTCCCAAAGACGAAAAAATATTAAGAAGAAGAATACATTATGTACTAAATTGTGGCATATGTTCATGATTCTAGCGATTAGAGATGCATTTGGTAAAAATGGTCGACACTCCCCTTCTGGTTTTACCCATGATGCCCCGTATCGATGTTCCACATTTTTCTGATTGTACATATGTATAAATATATAATTCAAATTGAAGAGTTTACTGCTTCAAAGAATATGATTTTTTTCGATTAATACTTTTCATAATCTTAAATCTTAATTAAATGGTTGAGAGGCCGCATCGTTGTTTGCAATTTATAAAAAGTACATACATATGTGCATATCGATCTTGTTCGTACCAAAGATTTCATTGGTTCCCAGCGAATATCTTATACATACATAGATACATAGTACATAAAATGTACAAACATATGTATATGCACGTATGTATTTGTTTTTTATTTATGCGAATCGTCTACAATAAATTCTACGTAAGAAAGAATAGATCCCTTAACGTGTATATTGTTACATATTCGCAGAAATATTGTACAAACAGCGTTATATACATATACAGCGGACGTCCGGTAATTTTTAGGTAGCCGCTTAGAAACAGTAAAGATAGTGCTTTATAACATGTAATAATAAATAAAAATATGTCTAGAAAAAGATGATGTTTAATACTTGTTAAAAATATAACTTTCATTATTTTCAATCAACTAGCTATTAACTACAATTTTGTAATATGATTACAATTCATTTTTTTTTTTAAAGAACTACGATACTATTTAACAGTGACTTCTGTCGTATAATAATTGTATAGAAGTCGTACGTATATATAACATAACGATTTCGAGTCAATTTTTCGAAGTCTAAGAGACATAATTTACTATTACAACAACAATGTTGTTAAGATATTCAGTTGTATATCCGTATCGTTCGTAATATACAATTTACGGATATGCATCATAATCGTTACATATTGAAAACAAATAATACGGACTGCATCGAACGGAGTAAATTTGTAGGGAGTTGTGACAAATCTAATGATCTCGAAAACAAAATCATTTATAATCTGGACAATCGACAGTATAGTTAACATCGTTCTAAAAGCTAAATAATTAACGTATTTCATTTGTACAAAATAAAAACATAAATTACATACTGTACAGATAATACAGGGTTATACATTAGACACAGTAATCGAGAGCCAGTGATATAGCTGAAAGTAACGTTTAAAAAAATATATAATTTTCAACTTTCAAAGTAATTTTAAAACAAGCGTATAAAATCTACGGATGTAGGATGGAAATTAAATGAATTCCGTAAAAAAATTCCAAGTAAATTTTATCGAGTATTCCAAACAACAGTAACAGAATATTCGGAATACCAACATCCAAAAACATTCCTTCCGCAAAAATTGTGTCTATACCATTGAATTTCCGAAGATATAAAATTATATATATCCTGCAAAATGTCTCGTCAACAATTGTGTAGAGACATATAAACGTAAATTAGCATGGTTTCGTAATGACGAGGACTTTAATGCGAATGAATATAAAAATTTCATAATATTAGTGTAGATTTAGTAAATGCTATTATCAAAGTGGCATTCACCCTTCTAGAATTGAAATATCTGCTGTCGTTCGCTAAACTTACTTTAATGTCTCTTTTTTAAAAGCTCACACGCGTCTAGAACTTAGGACACTTTTCTTTGCCAAACAGTATTATCTTTTCTAAGTAGTAACTATCCTCGGTTACATATTCAACAAACTTCAACACAGTGAAGCACGTCAATCCGCATTTGACGCTATCGCATTTTGTCGCGTTTCACATAAAAACAAAAAATATACATAGACAACATGGACTCATTCATAATTACGTTCGTAATCACCCATTGATCATACCAGTTTCTACATTCATACGTCTTCAAGTATATGTAAATCTTAATACTCAGTCTTTAGGCTTGCAGTCTGTTAATAAACCTATGTACACCGGGGTTATGTATTTACAAGGGGACAGTTTCTTTTCAATTACGAAATGTGAAGTAAAGAGTTTGAAGAAAAATCGTTGTACACTACACGATCTTGATGGTATTATCAATATGCAGTTTCGACATTGTCTTCTTGACGCGTAACGCTGTTAAACGAACAGCAGGATTTGCATGCCAACACTCGGCCATAAGTTTGCTGAGAGCAAAAAGGATCTGAAACAAAAAATAGGCATGAAACTTTCAACATTTCCCATCTACCAAGAATTCCTTGAACGAAGGCGATTATTTTCTTGCTTACAGGATCATTCTCCCATCGCGTTGGTATTATTGGACGTAATCGTTTTACGCACACCGCTAACCGCATATCCTCGAAGTCTGGATCACTCGGAACAACGTCGTGATAAGGCAGGGCGTACGGTTCCACTACAGAAGTCTTACCGCCGGTCACGCATCTCCTACACGCTTCCCACAACACAAGACCCACAGAATACATGTCTGCCATTTTAAAGGCATCGAACGAGGATGTATTCAACGTTTCGTCCAAGACTTCCGGAGCCATGTATCGGCGAGTTCCTACTCGCGTGTTAGGAGCGATGTCTATTTCTCCGCTTTCGCTGTAAGCAAAATTTGACAATTCTAATATCCGCCGCACGTATCGTTTCTTCGATGAATTTTTATTCTTCTAACCCTTACCTTATATACCTAACAGCCAAGCCAAAATCGGCGATTGCACATTCACCGCTCCTTTTCACTAAAATATTTCTACTTTTGATATCCCTATGCGCTATCGCGGGTTTTCCACGCGTGCCAAAGATTTCCGTATGTAGATGAGCAATTCCCGATGCGATCGAATGACAAATTGCTAATAGACTAGGATGATCTAGGACCGTGGTTTGCAAGTAATCGTGCAACGATCCCCTTTCGTGGTAATCCGTGATCAGCAACATTTGTGTCCAGGATCCTGTTCCTTTGATGTCAGCCGCGATAAAACCTAAAATATTGTCGTGCCTCATCAACACGGTTTGGTAGATCTCGGTCTCCCTGAACCAAGATGCTTCCTCCAGCGTGAAGAATACTTTGACCGCTACTTTCTCTCCTCTCCATCTTGCGAGCCATACTTCGCCGTACCGTCCTTTTCCCACGCACTGAGACAATGCCAATTGTTTAGCGATAGTCCGCTGTACCAACAGGGGTAACCCCGATCCAGAACCGCTGCTCTGGTCGATAAAGTCTTTGAGGGTACCCTGAGAAGGCACTAGGCAAGGACCTCTCTCTTTCCTTCGGTACCTATGGTATATAATAACCATAGCTATCGAAATTACCATTAAGCATACGGATAGTATGGTAGCCAATATTATAAGAGGCGCACCGGATGCTATGGCCATAGGATTGGGTGCTGTCGTAGGCCTAGGTTTATATTCGGGAAGTATGTCTTTATTGCACAGCGCGCTTTTGTTGCAACATATTATGCTTTTCCCTTGCAAGTTTGGCACAAGGTATCCTTTGCATTGCATAAAGCCTTGTTCGTCCGGTGGTAAACAGCCGAACGACAACTCGGGAACGAATTCCCCTGCATCCGCGTCCCAAACTTCTTCTACCGCACTGAAACAATGTCCACCGGGTCTTCCTTCGCAAGTTCCATTCTGCCGATTGTCCGGGCATTGTCCTTCGCAGTAACACGTGATCCCCAGTGCTGAAAGAACGAAATGCACAGTTATTTCGATTACCTGGGAACTATCGTTTCGAATAAAATGAAGACGTTTCGGGCACGGACCACCTGCCGCCATCTCCGTATCCGTCTTTATGGTGTGACTGTTCGAACGTAAACGCGAAACGAACGGTGTTGCATCTTTGAGGTTATACGAAAGTAAACAAAAACACTGAAAAATAACGGTGTATCTTGGCAGCGAGAATAGACAGGTGAAGAGAGGTGAAGACAGATCGAACGAACGACAGTGAGAAAAATCGGCGCGAGATAAGTAACCGAACGTGTTAAATGACGCCGAGTGGAAAGCTCGGTTATACTGGGCGGATTCGGGAGGAGGTTGCTCGACGAGTTACGACGTGTCGCGTAGGCGGACGGCCATTGCGTTCTACGCACGAGCTGCTGGCTGCTGCAACAAATAAGCGGAAGGTGCGCCCCTTGGAAGTTGCAACCAACAGAAATCTGTTATGTATACGCACGCGCCGATGCGTAAATTAATCTTGGGGCAAACACTTTTTTTTTCCTCTTCATCTTTCGAAATTTTCTACACAAAGATCAATTCGCAATCTCGAAGAAGCATGCGATTGAAAAAAATAATTCAAAGGTGTATGTATCACGATTACAATATCGAACGATCAACAATCAAGTTGACGTATTATTAGAGGAGTCGATAACTCAATGCGTCATGATCGCAAAGTCGAATGTAAGAGCGATCGAGGTCGATGATATAAAGATCGATTTTTGAAGCGCCTTGAAATTGGCGCGCATTTCTATGCCACGCTTCTTCCACGGAAAGTGAATCTCCAATGGTCTCTCGAAGCCCCAAGCATATTCATACTGCGTACACGTAGATCGTAAATGTGCCGTGCGTTCATTCAGAAAACTATTGTTCTCATCTTCTACCATGACACGACACGACATCTTCGATCTGATACGCTCGCGCTGTCACAGATGGAAGACGGATAGCCGAAAGTACGATGGAACGGACAAATATGGTTTAAGGTTATCTACCATGCGCAAAAATGACGGAGAAGCACGTCGTGCAAGTAAACAAAGAGTACAAAGTTTACGATGCATGCTGCGGAGTGTGTTCGAATGTGAAATGAAATGTTTTAGGAATCGCTGCCACCATAATCCTATTCGGCCGCGGGTCGGTAACACGACGGTCGAGGGGAGCGGAAACACCGAGGGCGAGATCGACTTACGGAGAGGAAATTCGACCGAGAAATCGAAAATGGTTACGAAAAAACGAAAGAGGTTAGTTCATCGAGACCGAGTAATTTTCTAATCGCGGAACGAGGGAATCGAAGTCGGGCTGGAACGAAGGAACAGGAAGAAAGACGAAGCCTGGAAGCGGCTGGGAAGACCGCTTATCTTCTGTCGCGGAATTACTCTCTCGCGTCTATTTTACGGTGACCGCTCTATTTATATCCCCGAATATCTGGATGACGGATCGATGCTCCATGCATGCTGAACCCGTTCCACGTATTCTCTCCACCTTTCTCTCTCTTTCTCTCTGTGACCCGAACGGCACCGAGTGTCACTTTCAATCTCGAACGTAGAAAGATACCATTCTACAACGACAGAAAAATACTTTCTTGACAAACAGATACCGAGACGAGAGACGATAATTGTTTCGACTCGACGGACATGTTCCACATGTCCCGATTCCATGCGCATTTCAAGAATCAATTATCAGTCCTTGAATCAAAGTTTTCTTGGCCCGAGGCGACCAACCGATCGCCGTACAAGGAAATCGCCGCGCCGGTTACACGGTTACACGATCCTCCGTCGTTTTCTCAACGAGACAAGGTGTACGTCTTTCAAACATCGAGGACGACTCTAATTTATTATCCCGCAAAGTAGAGTAGATCATTCTAGCCAGACAACGCGTCTAGATTAGATTAGATTAGATTAGATTAGATTAGATTAGATTAGTATAGATTAGATTAGTTTTACCGAGATCAATGAAATATAACCCTTTATTTCGCAGAAGACAAAAACGATAAACATAAAAATAGAAACAATATATAGGATCGATAAATGTCATAGATAAAAAGCAAAAGAATAAGAAATACGATACAAAGAAGGAAGAAATAGAGTTGGAATTAAAATTAAAACTATAAATAACATAAATAGAGTAGAGTAGCGTATCGCAGAAATAGCTGAATTTCTAAAAGAGATACAGTTTAATCGAACTTGGGAAGAAAGTGGTTCGCGGGAGAAACAATAATAATCGCCCTGGTAAGAAAGAGTCGCAGAATCTGTCGGTAGCGATGGAAGGATTTGATTTGATTTCAACTTTCCAGATCTATGCGTGGTGTCCCATGGGTCTATGGGTGTCCGGTAGGCGATATCTCGAGAAATCGAACGAAAACTACGCGACCGTCGCGTACTTTTCCATCGACGATGTTTCATCAATGAATTAAATTGTTCGATGCAGAAGCAGCGCATCGTAGAGAATTCACTCGCGGTCGCTAATAGAAATCTACAGCTGCACTCGGCGTGTAACGAAGGACCGTGACACGTTGCAACGGGGAAAAAAGAACCGAGGAAGAAGAAAAGGAAACAACACCGTAGGAGACGAGACGGGTCGAGACGAAACGAAACGGGACGAGGCGAGACGATCGCGTTTCTTTTTGCGAAAGAGAACGCGAAACGAAGAGGATATACCCGAACGTCGAACGAGCGTAAGCGCGTAATAGGGTGGTCGCGTCGCCGCGTCGAACCAGTAGTTTTTAGCGAAACAATCGCGTAGTCGGCCGTAATCTCGTGAGAAGGATTCAATGAATCGCGCGTCGCTGCGTTACAACCAGACACGTTGTTTATCAGCGTGGCAAAGAGCAATATCAGCGATAAGCTGGCGTTCCACACCTACAACCTCCAGGGAATCGGTACCGCACGACAGCGATCGTTACAAAATCAAGCGGGCATTAAAGCCCGACACGTAGTTCCACATCGAACAAATACATCGGGTCGAAACGAATCCTCGAATCCTTCTCTCAGCGGTTCGATCGCATTTTAGAGTAAACGCGAGCGATCTTAATCGTCGAGATCGCTCTCGGTAGCCCGATTAAATCTAAATTTCTCGACGATCGATCGATCGTGATCGAAGGAGCGCGTTCGCGCCAATTAACGGACCGTTTCGGACTGGTAAACTGCCTCGAGCGGGAGGAGAAGGCACTTGTTTCAAAGTGTTGGATCATTTGTCAAGAGAGTCCGGCCCGTTCAGCAATTTGGTCAATGAATATTTACTGTATTTATCGCGGCGTGTTCGCGGGCAGACTGCCAACCACCGGAACAACCCGCGATCGTTCGAACGGATCCTACCAATTTTTTGCGTTTGAAATCGAGATCGAAATTTTCATTATTATCATTGTTTATTTAAGTATTTTACGGGCGAGGTACTCTTTGGTTTATACAAGTAGAATCGTTTTCTAACGGGTACGAACGGTTGTGAACTTAATTTTTTTGCAGGGATACAGGAGACACGAAGGACATGGAAAAGCAAGAGGAATAGGTGTACGATGCCTGGGTGTACATAGACGCGATGCGCGTACGATGAATACCGACCGTACGCGTTCTTCAACGGGAACGTTCGGACGTCGATACAGTACCGCGATACTTTCTCTCGCGCCGAATACCGTATCGCATACTCGTATCGCGATGCAGGTACCTTGGCGTGAAACGGGTCTAACGTGCGTCGAACAGAGTCCGTTGCTCCACCGGTTCGGCGACGGAAATTAGAGAGCACGACGGCTGCGGAGCGTGGTTCACGACGATATACGTTTTTGGCTGGCGCATACATCGAGCGTAATTGCAGGTTGCATTTGCGCGCGATGAATAACGCATCCGAGAACCGCGGTGAAAACGACTTTGCGTGTACGCGTAACAATACTACCAGTATAGTTTTCGTGGAAGGACAATCAGTCGACGGTAATCCAATCCTACTGTCACTCGTTGCCGCGATTCTCTAGGGGAACTCGTTGGCCGAAAGAGGTAGGTCGTTCGTCGATAAACTTGGAAGCTGTGAACCGATTCGTGTTCGCGTTCGATGTCCCCCCCCCCCCCCCCCCCCCTCTCCATCCCCCCCCCTCCCCCCCCCCCCCCCCCCCCCCCCCCCCCCCCCCCCCCCCCCC